AAAAAACTATTATTTAGTATTAAGGGCAGGAGCAAGGGCCTTTATAAATACCTTTTTTTTATATTTAATATTTTTTAAAAAAGAAGGCGTGACAGGCCCGTTTTTTAAAAAAAAAATATTAGTAAACTAATAACTATTCTAGCTATTATTAAAATAGGCCAGGGGCTATTTAATAATAAGCTAAAAAAATTAAACAAGCTTTTAAATAGCTAAAGCTAAAACCTTTATTATATAAATCTTAGGGCTTATTTTTTTTTTATAAGTTTTTATTATTAGTTTAACCTAGTAAGTAAACGTGTTTTAATAATAAAGGTATTTATTATAATTAGTAAGATTTATATATTATAAAAAGGTAACATTTTTTTTTATATAAAATAGTAGGGGGAGGTAAGTGCCCTTAATATAAATATAATAAAAGTAGTTACACTTAACAGCCGGATAAATATAGTAGTTAGGGCTATTAATTAACCTATTATTTTTATATATTTAAATATATTTCGCGTATTATAAATAAACCTATTTTTTATTAGCTAATATTTATATTAAAGCTATTTTACTAGCAAACTAGTTAAAAACAGGGTATACTTATAAAAAAAAAAAAGGCTGGAGGCTAAAAAAAAAAAGCTTAAGGGGGTAGTAGCATAAAACCTGTAGTAAAAGTATTAGTAAAAGCAAAAATTAGTATAGCACTAAGTAAAGTAAAAAAAGGTAAGTTAAAAGGCACAGGGGCTATAGTTAAATAATAAAGTAGTTATTATAAGGTTAAAAGTTAGTATATTTAGTAAAGTGCTGGCGGAGCGCCACTAGTTAATAATTATTAAAGTAAAAAAAACTTACTAAATTATTATTTATAACCTTGTTATATATTTTAAAGGTGTTTATTAAATATAAGTTATACTAGTTATTACTGCCTAAAAACTAATTAAAATTAAAGTTTTTAAAACTAATAAAAAACTAGTATAAAAAAAAAAGCAGGAATGCCAAGGGCTTTTAAAGTTAGTAAAAATATTATATTAAAAGGGTTTTATAATTATACTATAGTGGGAATATAAGGGGCAAAGGTAAAAATATTTTAAATTATTATAGTTATAGCTAGGTGCTTTTTTTTTACTTACTAGGAAGCTAGGGCAGCGCCTAAAAAAGCTTTTTTTTTAATTATAATAAAAAAAGGGCGACTTTTTATTTAATAAAAAGTTTAATAAATTTAGGAGTTTATAAAACTATAAACTATATTATAATCTATACTTTTATACCAGGTATTATTAAAGCACCGCTTTTCCCCTTTTAATTATAAATAAATATTATATTTTATTTAAAGCGCTATAAATAATAAGAATAAAATACTAAATTTAATATATTAAATAATACTTTAATAAAATTAAGAATAGTAATAATAAAGCTATGTTTAGTATTAATATTAATAATAATAGTGGTGTTTTATTATTATTTTTTTTTAATTTAGTGGTGGGTCGCGGACGACCCTTTAATTAAAAAAGAAAAAAATTATTAAGGCTAATATTTTTTTATTTAATATTACCAAAGCTAATTTATTATTAGTTTAAAGTTAGCACCTAAGCTTTAGCCTTAGGCTACTAAGGCTTGGCATATTTTATTATTATATTAGGCTATATAACTTAACTAGGTTATTAATATTTAGGGTTTTGGCTACTAGTTAGGCAAGGCTAGGATAGGCCTTAAATATAAGTTAAAGTAAAAACCTATGCGCAAAGTATTTAAACCTATATTTATTTTTTAGTTAGAAATAACTTAAGTATAGCTTAAAGGTTTATAAAGGTGGCCTTAAGGCTAGCCTTTTTCCTAAATTTTTAAGTAACTCTTTTAGTATTATTTAACGGGGTTTAAAATACTCCATTTTTATTAGTTAGATTCCTTTATTAATATCTTTATTGTTAGTAGAGATCTTTGAGACTTGTTGGTCTTACATTTTTTTACTAAGCAAGGCTATTTTATAGTAATTATTTTTAAAAAAAACTTTTAGTAAAGTACAAGCTTTAGTATTTTAGTAAAGTTAAATAATTTTTAAAAATTTAAATTTTTTAGGATAGGCCTTAGTACAAGCTCTAGCTTTTTTAAAATTTTTATATTAAAGTTATTATAAATTAATTTTACTTAAATATTATAATTTAGTTATTTTTTATTTTACTTTTATTACTTAGCAAGCTTTATTTAAACTTTAACACGGCCACCTTTAAAAATATTAAAAAAATAAAATTAAAAATTAAATTTATTAAATATACTAGTACTTTTACTTATTTAAATATTTTTTATATAATAAGCTATTTATTAAAATATTTTATTAATTTTATAAATTATTATTAACACGTAATAAATTAACTTATTTTTTATTTTTATAATACATGCTTTCTTACTTTTAAATACTTTAGTTTAAATAGCTTTAAAAATAAGGTTTTTATTAAAAAATATAAGATTTATAAATTATACTTTAATATAATATTTATAAATTATTTTAATTAATTTTTTAATATAGGCTATATTTATAAATTATATAAAAATTTAATTAAATAAAAGGCTATAAAGCAGCGTTTAGTTATTATTTTTATTATTAAAATAAAGTTACTTACTTTTATTAAGGCCTTTAAAGTAATATACTAATAATAAAAAGTTTTTAAAGTTATATAATTTAATTTTTAATACTAGCTTTTAATTTAATATAATAATAAATAAATAATTAATATTTTTATTAATATTAATATATAACTTTACTTAAAGCTTTATTATATTAATATTTATAATTTATAACTTAAGCAGGAAGTTTAATATAAAAACCTTTATATTAAATAAACTTTTATTAATTAAATAATTATAAATGGCCTTATAAAAGCACTTACTAAGTAATAATACTAAAAATTTATTAAAATACTAAATTTAGTAAACATTTTTAACCTTATTTTTAACTAATTTAAAAGTAAGTAGGTATTAAGGGGGCGTGTTAGCTAATAATAAAAATTACTTAATTTAATAAAAAAGTATTATAACACTTTAATAACACTTAAGCACCTTAAATAGTTTTAATTAAAATATTATAATACTTACTATTAAATTACTTGCCTGTATAACTATAATATTTATAATTTTTTAAATATTATAAAGTATTAATAAAAGTATTTAAAATTCTTACTATTTTTAAAAGCTTAAATTATTTATATAAACCCTAGTTAGCTCTAGCTTTTAAATATTATTATGTTTTTTATTTAATTCTCCAGTATCTGTTTAATTGACAGCTTTCCTTTGCACGGTATTTAAAGGGCCTTATACAGCGCCCTTTAGGTTGGCTATCGTGACTCCCTCGTTCGACTTTCCTGCCTTTTTGTTCGCAATGTACTGCTCCAGATGCGTGCGCATGAAGGAGGGCTGTGTGGCCGTTCCAGACCGGATGAAGGGCTCCGTTGCATCCCAGGGAGAATCATGTAGGGCTTGGATGGAGGGCTTCGTAGCCCGTGCATGTGCAAGTGGCCGTAGCGCACTCCACACTCTCGCTGCCCAAGAGGGTAGATGTCGTAGCACGGGGAAGAAATCGACAATCGAGGCTGCCGGCACGCCGCCCTCCCCAGTGGCCTCTTCAACATCAATCGCCATTTTCACGTACGGATCATCCTTCTCTTGAACATCAATTCCGAATCCTATCCTCAACACAACAGCCGTCGAGAACTGTCTCAACAGCATCTCCCATTCCTCGGGCCGTTCTGTAATCGCCTTGATTGCCCTCCTTGCCTCCTCTTCCTGGATGGCGCGGTACGGCTTACAGGCCGAATGCGTGAACGAGCTCTGGAGTAGCTTGCGATGGAGCTTGAATCGCGGCGACCACCGCAAGAATGTAAGTGTGACGCCCCAGCCCATGACCTCGAAGAGGACGAACCGCGGCCGGTCAGCATAGTTGGCGCCTCGTTTTTCGAGAAGTTCACGTGCGGCTTCGATGCTGTTCAGGACGATGATGGGGCGACCGAGGACATGCAGTGATAGAATGTCGGAGTTGAATTCCTTGCCCCATTGGATGAAGGCGTGTTCGGGGTGCGAGTGTGGGATGGTGTGGAGGTGGCCTAAGACTGGGGTGGCCGGGGGTCCGGGGGGTAGGCGGAGGGCTGGCTTTCTTTGCTTTATGATAAATAAAGCTATCGCGAAGCCTAGGAGTACCGGTATCAAGGCCGACGCTTTTGGTGGGGAGACTAGTAGGTCCATTTTGATGAGTTGGTGCGGTTGATGTCAGCAGGAGCTGGAGATGCAGTTATATGCAGACCAATGCCGCTTACGTCCAGCTTGGAATCCTGCCACCCCCATTCGCTGCTATCTCGACAAGGATCCTTGCTTCTTACCTATCAGTTTGGAGATGTATCCCCCATATCTCAGATTGTTGCTTCTCCACTTTGCCGGCCGACAGTGCGTTTCCACTCCCCGTATTTGGTGCATACATACTCCGTAACAACCTCAAATGATGAAGGGAAAATAACGCTTCAGACACAGTCATTATCATGGCCACCGCAACCGCCGCATTTACAACCACACCCACATCGGCCGACCTGTACACCTACCGAGTCGGCTTCGGCAACCGCTTCGCCTCTGAGGCGATCCCCGGCACGCTGCCGATAGCCTGCAACACACCGCAGCGATTCAAGTACGATCTAGTCTCTGAGCATCTCAACGAGACACCATTTGTCTCATCCCGCGCCTCTATGCTAAAACCCGTCAATGAGAATGTCACGTTCACACCGCAAGATATTGGCTGGGACGCGTTCGATATCCCGTCGTCAGAAGAACCAGTCGACTTCAACCAGGGCTGGAAGACGATCGCGGGCCACGGCGATCCGGCAGCAAAGGAGGCGCTCGCGGTGCACGCGTACATGTGCAATTCCTCCATGGACAAGAAGGCCATCGTCAACAACGACGGCGATCTTCTCGTCCTCCCGCAGCAGGGAAGCCTCGACATCCAGACCGAGTTCGGGGGGATGATGGTCCGACCGGGCGAACTCGCTGTCATCCAGGCAGGCATGCGCTTCAAGGTGTCGCTGCCGGATGGCGTGGGCAGGGGGTACATCCAGGAGATCTTCGGCAGCCACTACGAGCTCTCTGAACTCGGCCCGATCGGTTCCAACGGGATGGCGATGCCGCGAGATTTCGAAACGCCCATTGCGGCGTTCGATATCGCCACGAACTCGAAATGAGAGATCATCGTCAAACTAATGGGCAATATATTTGTCTATACACAGAACCACACGCCCTTCGATGTCGTTGCCTGGCACGGCACCTACGCACCATACAAATACGCACTCGAACGCTTCATCAACGCGTCGACCACAGCGCGCGACCAGTCCGACCCGTCAATCTACTGCGTGTTGATCGCGAAGTCGAAAACCCCGGGTGTAAATCTGAGCGACGTCCTTGTCTTCACGCCGAAATGGAACGCGACGAGCAATACATTCCGACCGCCATACTACCACCGCGACGTCGTGACCGAGATCATGGGCATGATATACGGGACATGGACAGGGACAGGGGTGGCAAGACACCAACCTGGTGGATTAACCTACGAGCCGAGCTATATGCCGCACGGGGAGAGCTTTGAGCGGTGGAGGGAGGCGACGATCGCGGAGTTGAAGCCGCTGTTTGTGGGCAGGGGACGATGGCGTTTATGATGCATGTCTCAGGGCATGTGGCGCTTACGAAGTATGCGGCTGAGCGGAGTGGGAAGGTGCAGGTGCAGGAGGGTTGGGATGAATGGGAGGGTGAATTTTTGGAGAGGTTGGACAAGGTTGATGCGGATTTGAGGGCAAGGGGGTTGGAGCCTCTGCGGAGGACCGGAGATAGCCGATCGCTTGTGATTGAGAGATAGGGCTAGCTGGAGATCCTCGGCCGGCAATTGCGGCAGATCCAGCGTTTTAGCAATACCTATCTGGGTTGGTATCAAGATAGCGAGATAGCCATCTACATGGATGTAAGTCTTTTCCTAGGCACGCTACCTCCTCACATAAACCCCCAACCCTACCTTTGTTGTCGACTAACTTGGTTTATGCATGCGGCATTCATATAACCCATACAGCTCAAAATGAATAAGCCAGAAGAGAAGCAGCCCTCCACCGCAGCTAGGCATGGGCTTCTTAGCACTGTACTACCTACCGCAGGGGTATTTTGTTAGCAATACACTAAGATTATCTACCACTGTCTTACCAAGGCAGTTAGCGAGCTGCCGGTCTACTACCTCTCGCTGTGCTGTAGCAGGAGGCATAAATAGATGCACCTACAGACCAAGCTTAATATCTTGTCCTCCTGGCATGCGGCAATTGTCATCTCCTGCGTGCTTACCTCCTAGACCAAGAAGAGTAATGGTCCTGGCACTTGTAATATACCTTACGGAGTAGGTGTCCAGCTCCGCTGCATTCCCTGCCTTAGCAGTTGGCACATATACCTGACGCAAATCTTACGAATGCCTAGGCACGACACTGTGATCTACAAGTGAATGCAGATTAGAATAAACCTGATCACACTTATCATGAAGCATCGCAGCGAGGGAACTGAGTTGCTCGTATACGGATACGCTTACGCACCCGCATCCGCACACGCAGCCCTAAGACTCACCCCAGAACACCCTCCAGGGAGCGACTACCAGTCTACTCTATTGATTTTGATTTGAGAAACGTATAAAGTTAGGCTGGCCGGCTCGACTTTCTATTTTGCACTCTTAAACACATCGCCTTTCTACAAATTGGCCTTGGTTCTGACACTTTTAGCTATACTTCACCACAATTTAGCTTCACTACCCACCCTGTTATTACACTCACCCGTCGCCACCATTTATCTGACCATGGACCCCGAGTCAACAAAAACTCTAGAGCAATTATCATCATTCTTCTCCTCTCACCCTTCAATCACCCTCTTAACCCCCTTCCTGAACTCCATCTCCTTCAACACCCTACGCCCAACATTCGTGAACCCCAACTCCACACCCCTCGCCATCCTCCGGCCCTCGAGCACCGAAGACGTCAGCATCATTGTGCAATTCCTCGCATCAAGGGACATCCCCTTCACCGTCCGCGTCGGCGGCCATGATATGCACGGCCGGAGCGCGGTGGATGGGTGTGTTGTGCTCGATTTACGGCTACTGAATCATGTTGTTGTCAACGAGGATAAAAAGACTGCAGCCATTGGCGGTGGGATACTTATCGGCGATCTGCTCTCTGCCTTGGAGATGCATGGTCTAGTTACACCTGTTGGGACGGTCTCGAGCGTGGGGTATGTCGGGTGGGCTATGTATGGCGGGTACGGGCCGTATAGTTCTGTCTATGGATTGGGGGTGGATCAGATTGTTGGGGCGAAGGTTGTTAATGCCAGTGGGGAGGTTATCGATGCGGATGAGGAGTTGTTGAAGGGGATCAAAGGGGCGGGTGGTGCGTTTGGGGTCATCGTTGAGGTGGAAGTTAGGGTCTACGAGTTGGAATCGGTATGCCCTACCCCTTCCCCACCGTCCATTTCCACTCGATAATACCCATGCTATGATACTAAAGTGGACAATAGATCCTCGCCGGCACCCTCCTCTTCACCTCCACCGATCTCCCCACGACCCTCCGCACTTTCACCTCCGCCTACAACGCCCTTACACACAGCACCGCCATCCCCGCCGCCCTGAACCTCTTCCCCGCCGTTCTCCCTTCACCCCCAATGCCAACGCCCACATTCGCGCTCATAGTAACCTGGACCTCACCGGACCACTCAGCAGGCCAGGAATGGATAAACCGGATCGCAACACTCACACCCTCGGCCACCGTAACGGCCAACACCGTGCAGTCTACAGCACCAAAAGCCTGGGCCGACGAGGTCTCAAAGCTCGTTGCTACCAACGTCCAGGGGCGGATGTACACCATCTCCCTTAGACAGATCACGCAGGAAGTGTCCGATGTCATTGCACGATATACAAGCCCTGAAAAAATGCCAAGGGATCCGGCGCTGCTCTTCGATATGCACGAGCTGCGCTCTGTCTCGCCTTCTGCAAACCACAAAACGGACTCCGTGTTCAACGCGCGCGAGCCGCACTTCGTTGTTGAGATTTGTGCGATTGCTGCTAATCCCGAGAACCTCGAGACGGTGTTGAAATGGGGAGAGGAGTTCCAGGGTGCATTGAAGAGGACGGATAGGGGGAATATCCTGCCGGCATCGTACATCTCGTTTTTGGCGAGGGAGGAGATAGAGAGAAATATGGGGGGCGTATTTGGGGGGCATCTGGGCTTTCTGACGGAGCTGAAGAGGAGGCTGGATCCGGTGAATGTGTTTAGGGCTGCGATTTCGAATTTGTGAAACTTGCTTGTCTTTACCTACAGCGGGTCTTGAGGAGACTGACGCCCTACCTAAGAGAAAGAGAACTACCCAGGTATCTCATTGCTTTCAGCGTACACGTATTACCCTTGCTGCTGTACCCAGGGATTGTTTGCCATGGGGAAGCTATGGTATCTAGCTGTAAGCGGTCTGGCTATGTTGTTCTGGCTCATAGCTCAACTCTTGACATCAGTAGATGCTGAGGGATGTATATAGTAATGCAAAGGTACCTTGTCTCCCACTAGGGTTAACAAAGAGAGGGTAGCCCTTACTTTCTATGCAGTTCAATTGTGTGATTGCTTTCCATATCAGAAAATTTGGGGAGAGTGGTATGATAGCCATGAGCTCCTTCAATGCAGAATGATTCAAATGATACCTAGGTATTAACTCATAGGGTACCGCTGATATCTTAACATGCTTCCTGCACCTGATCAACCCTCCCTTAGGGAGGTAACGGCCCTGTACGACCACCACACGTGATCCAAGTTGCAGATACGAGGCTGCACAGAAAAAGCAAGCATCCATCAATTCAGCTGCGGGGCAATGCGGACCATGCGGCCACAGCTCTGCTGTCCTTCTCTTTTAGAGTCTATAGCTGTCATCGATCTTCACCCTCACCATTTGAGCTATGCAGCAAGCAGACGTCCTGGTCTCGCTTCACGACGGCGGAGAGAGGGAGCTGTGTTTCCTTTCGCTTGATGGCGGGGGTGTTCGAGGCCTGTCATCCTTGTGTATCCTGGATGAGCTGATGCGCAAGGTCAACCCGGACAATCCGCCCTCGCCGTGCGACTATTTCGACCTGATTGGGGGGACGAGCACCGGAGGGTACGCGCTGGGTTTGTGTATGAACTCCCAGTGCCAGATTTTAACACGCGAACAGTCTAATTGCTATCATGCTTGGGCGGTTGCATATGACCATTGACGAGTGTCGAGCCGCGTACCGTGATTTATCGGACGAAGCCTTCCAGATCACAAACCACCGTGCGGCACCGTCCTTCAGTATGCCGTGGAACTGGAAGCTCCCGGCGCGGTTCGATACAGAGGCCCTTGAGCGTGGTTTTAAGCGGATCATCGTGAACGCCTTGAAGAAACGGTCGGAGAATGCTTGCAAGGCTGAGGAGGAACTCACAGACACTTTGCTAAAGGAGGCTTCCCCTAAATGTCGGGTGTGCGTGTTTCTGTTCCACTCCCCTCTCAGTATGCTGTATCGTATGACTGACGGTTATCATCATCAAGGTTCGTTATTTCGACGAACGCCCGCTTTCCGGACCGGACCATTATCTTCGCCAACTACGTATCCGATCGATGGCCACGAGACCTACTGAACTCGGTGAAGATATGGGAGGCTGCGAGGGCAACCTCTGCGGCGCCCACCTTTTTCGAGTCGATACGTCTCGGCCCCGACAATGAAGAATTCCTCGACGGCGCCACGGGCGCAAATAATCCGGTGAATTCTTTGTGGAATGAGGGCTTGGACATATGGAAGCCAGGCACTCCGTTGGAGGAGAGGCTGCATTGCTTGGTCTCGATAGGCACGGGCGTGCCCTCCGTCAACGCCTTTGGAAGCGGGCTCAAGGATATTGGGATAACGCTGAAGGCCATGTCCACGGAGACCGAGACGACGGCAAACGAGTTCATGCGTCGGTATTCCCGCCTCCACAAGGATCAGAAATACTTTCGATTTAACGTGCGTTCTGGCCTGGAAGGGATCGGGCTGGAAGAAGCATCCAAGCGAGCTGATATCATTTCGGCCACTAGGAGATACCTGACAACGGAGGAGGACAGAGTTCGGCTTGAGACCTGTGCGGACATGCTGAGAATTCGAGAATGTACGGTTGACTTTGCCTAGCTCCTGGATACAGCTGAAAATACCATGCATTTGAGTAGCGCTCTTTGAACTGTACTGGACCGGTGCTGACCGCGTGTTCTTTTTCAGGGGAGACAGTAATATCATATATAATGGACCAAGCTGCACAGGAGTTTAGCAGGGCCAACGAACGCCTGAGACACCTCGCGGGTAGCTACCAGCCCGAGCTTGGAGACGCCGCAGAATGGCTCAAAAACATACCAGAGTATAGGCAGTGGATAAAGGGAAGGCGCGGGTTGCTTTACTGCATCGATGAAGATGGGGGGAGCCTACGCTCTTTCCTGACCACTGTGGCTGGTGAAGAGTTTGGGCCAGGGCACCTCCACTCCGGCAATATCATATACATTGACCTCTCGCAATACACAAGGCGCCCCCTCCAAATGCGTGTCATTCGTTCAGTCCTTCTCCAGGCGCTCCACCGCATCGCTAGGGGTTCCCGAAGCTTTCTCAAATACATGGGAAAGTCAGTGCTCAAAAAGCCGTAACCTTGCAGGAATTCTTGTCTGGACGCGCGAACCCCCGATATGTTGGCAAAGGGAAAGGGTGGCTGGTAAATATGATGGCTGATATTCTGTCAGAACTTTTCGAGTCAGGCCTAGCAACCGCCGGGTCGCCCTGGGAGACGCTCTGCTTGATGCTTGATCACGCAGACGACGCTGGACATGAAATCAAACGCCTCCTGGACGCGCCATTGTTCACCTGCAATACTATTCTATTTGCTCGCAGTCACATAAGTCTCAAGCTGCAACATCGAAAGCCCGAAATCATCGACGAAATGGTCGAAGCAAAGCGTAAGTAATAGATCCTCCAGCAGCGGTTAACCGGAAGGAAGCTGATATCCAACTCTCCAGACTGCTTGGAGTCTCTCTATTTCCCAGAGTGGCAATATCGTGGAAACACGGTCGAGAAGCCCCGAGCTGATACCTGTGCCTGGGTCTGGACACATCCTGCCTTCGTCCGGTGGCAAGCCCAGCCCGGTGGGATCCTCTGGATCAAAGGAAAACCGGGCAGTGGGAAAAGCACGATTGCAAAGATGATCACCGGCAAGATCAGTGGGCATCTAACGCGCCATGACAATGGCCAGTCTCCTCCACGTTTCAGCACCGCCAATTTCTTCTACAGTGCCCGGATGGGCGAAAAGGCCACCCGCCATTATTACATGCTCCGGTCCATTCTCTACCAGGTGCTAGACCAGGATAGGTCTGTATACAGACATTTCAAGGCCAGCTACCGGCGCCTCCTTGCCAAACAGCTGCCGTGGACCATGGAGGACTTCAGAGAGGTGCTTCAATCGGTCACGAACGATTGTTGCGGTGGGCATCGGCGGATATGCTGCATCTTGGACGGTTTCGATGAAGCTGACGAAGAAGAAGACTCGGGAAGCGTGAGCTCTCGGTTGACAAAGACGCAAGTGCTCCAATGGCTGGCAGAACTGGCCGTCCGAAAGGAACAGGGGTCGTGGATGAAACTGATTGTCTTGAGTCGCCCGGTGCCGAGCATCGCCCGAGTGCTTGGGAGAAATTGCATCACGGTGGAGGAGCACAATGCCCCAGACATCAAGCACCTCATAAGTACCGGCTTCGCAAGCATCCAGCGAACGATCGATGACTGGGATCGACACGACTATGAGCTGCTCCCGGACGGAAGTCCAGGCCAGCCGAGTGAGTCGCAGGACACACTGGCCTCCTTGAAAAGTGAGATGCGGAAGAAAGCGTGTGGAACAATCCAATGGGTGGTCCTTGTTTTAAAGGAGCTCCAAGCTGAGATAGACCGTAGGGGAGTCTACAGCAGAGCTGAATTGGAAGACATTGTCGCATCACTTCCCAGCGGTCTCCACGAGCTTTACCAGGAGCTCGTCACAAGGCTCCAGCGTCGACTAAGACCTGTCGAAGTGCGAAAGGCCAACTTGATGCTGTCATGGGTGTGCTTCTCCCATCGACCACTGGCTCTGATGGAACTTCGAGACGCTCTTGCTCTCGATGGTTGGACGGATTCTAAGCCACGCACAATGCTCAGCGAGCACCTCAAATCACGACGCTTACAGCTGTCTCAGACACACAACTGGGCGCCTGTGGAGCGTGAGATCCTGCATTGCTGTGGCTGTCTGTTGGAGGTTGTGAAGGTGGCATCATCCAGAACTCTTGCCTCTGTGCGATCCACTGTGACCGGACCACACGACATTGTCCAGGTAGCTCATCACTCCGTTAAGGAATTCCTGCTTCAGGAAACCGGGGCCCCGGAACCGTTCAGGCTACTACCAGACGAAGCCTACCAGTCCCAGTGCGTCGCTTTGTCAATGTATATATCCTGCTCTATACCACTACCCCTGGTCGATTTCCCATCCCGAAAGCACAGCGCCTGCTGGACGCATGTCGAAATCAATCTTTTAGCAAGCTATCTCGACGACCGGCCTCTTTTGGCGTATGCAGTGCAGGCATGCCGACGCTGGATAAACAATGCAGACCATTCCTGCCAGCTGATCCTCCCGCGGCTGGAGCCACTCATCAACAATCCAGACGACGACCTATCGTGCCTACTCGTATCGTGGATGGGCTCGGGATCGTCTCACCTGCAGCATTCGACAACAGACCCGGGCCGGATTTCCTTCCGACACTGCATCGAAAACATCTTTGTTCTCGCTTGCCAGCTGAATCTCCTGAGTACGCTTCGACTGGTGCTCGAGCACCCGGACTTTGTCCTGCACGACCGACTCCTGCACTACAGCTTCTTCAGCGCCGTGAGAAACGGCCATCTGGCTCTCGCGGACATGATTCTTCGATCTGGGGTGAACATATACGGCGCCGAGATGAGGGGAGATGTGGAAAGGGAGTTCTACACGGCCAAGGAACAAGGCAAGTTTCCAGTATGCTGTCTGATAGGAGATCATTACCAGGATTACTACTCACAGTCCTTCGACCTACGCACGGGTGGAAATGCTGGGAGCGGTTAGTCAAGCTCACTGATAGGGCGTTGGATGCCTTGTGATTTGCAGGGCAGAAGGTAAAGCTAGATAACATGTACAAACAAGATGGCTTTCATCATATTCCTTCCTTGTTGCCATATGTCATGATATAATGAGATTCATACTCTCCGAGCTAACGTAGGATAACTATACAGGATTTGGCTCAGGACAAAAAGAATCTAGTAACGAGTCGTGTGAGTTCGGGTACTAATAGAGAAGTGGCCATGGCCTCCAGCTAGGTACGTAACTACTTATGGTAGGTCTGGATTTCCCGGTCTCTCTTAAGTATCTAGCTTTCACTTCGAAGCCCGAGGGTATGGTATGCGTTGGATACGCCTAGAGAAGCTCCAAGCGCACACTCCACAACATCTAACAATCGCAATGGCACATATTTAGGATTAAGCAGCCTTGTCCAGGCAGATTATATGCCCTATTAAACATACCAGCACTCACGTACATGGTGTACTATTGCCAAAGCACATCAGTGGACGAATTGGCTGCAATATTAACCAGATACAAGAACGTAAGAACTATATACACAACTCATAAAGTCATGACGCGCTACTAGCCAACCTCTCAACCCCCTCACCACTCCGAGTCCCCTGATTGACACCATCAAACCCTCTCAGCATGCACAACCTCGCTCCCCTTCCCAACCTCGCCCTCTTCCTTACCCTCCCCCATCCCCCCAACCCCACTGGGCGCCCCAAACAACGCATCCATCTCCTCCAGCGTCTTCCCCTTCGTCTCCGGAATAAAGAACCAAGCCCAGAATCCCATCGCAATCATCAGCGACGCAAAGAAAAAATACGTCCCGTAGCCCAAAGACGTAATCATATACGGCGTCGTGCGGCTGATAACAAACGACCAAAGCCACTGGTCCGCCGTCGTAATCGCCACACACAGCATCCGGATGTCAATCGGGAAGATCTCCGAGCAGATGACCCAGGTGATACCCTGCCACGTTGCGCAGTAGATCAGCCCGTACAGATACACGCACACCATGGCGATGTACCCCCATGCGTCTTGCACTGTGTCGCCGCGCGCCGAGGTGCCGCTGGGGTCGCGCTCGAAGACGTACCCGCCGATATACCACATCGGTAGACTGCCGATGAAGGCGCCGTAGATGAGGCCGCTGCGGCGGCCGACCTTTTCGACGAGCCACACGCTGAAGATCACCATACCGAGGGTTTTGGCGACGCCGTAAAAGCCCGTGGCGAAGAGCTTGGTGTCCGTGGAGTTTATGCCGAGGGTTTCGAAGATGCGGGGGGAGTAGCTTTGCTCCGTTAGCGGTTTTCGTAATGAGAGGACCTTGGAGAGAGGGGCATACTATGTGATGATGTTCACCCCCGTCAGGTTCTGAAAGGCCATCAGCAGGAGCCCAATGCCGATCCGGTTCCTTGTCCCGCGCTGCCAGAGTCGCTGCACGTAGAACGACGGGTCATATTTTCTGCCATTTGGGACGATGTCGTACTGGAGCTGTTCTCGGATCTGCTGCAGCTCCCCTTGGATGAAGGGATGGTGCGCGGGGAGCTTTCTGGCCCAGACAAGGCTCTTCTCTGCGTCGTCCCAGCGGTCTTTCTTTGCGTACCAGCGCGGGGACTCGGGGCAGAAGAAGATACCGGCTAGGAGCAGGCCACCAGGAAGGAGCTGCAGACCGAGGGGAATCTGCCACTGCGCCATGCGTGACGAGGAAACTGTGCGGTTGATGGCGTAGTTGATCCAGAAGCCCAGCATGCCACCACCCTGCGAACAGATCTCAAAGATCCCGACGAGACGGCCGCGAATAGATGCAGGTGACTAGGCTTATTAGTTTAACCTTGAGATGTCCAGCATCAGAGACTACATACCATCTCAGCGATATAGACAGGAACCTGCAGGGATACAGAGCCAATGCCGAAACCTGCAATGGCGCGACCGGCGTAGATCAAACCGAGCTTGCCCGACGAAGCAGTCTTGCCATGGTCAGTAAGTCGTGCTGGCGTCTCTGGAGAATTATCTCACCATCAGACTCCCTCCAACACAAAACACACAAACAGCCATGATGATCGCATTCCGCCGCCCAAACCTCTCGCCCAGCGGGAAGGTAAGGAGAGACCCGAAGAAGCAGCCCGCCTGGAAGGTCGATACAATGTTTCCTTCCAGCGTATCCGTCTCAGTTTCGGAGGCATTGTTCAGACCAAAGTGGCGGCGGAAGGAATCCAGGGCCATGGTGCCGCCGATGACGCTGGTATCGTAGCCCACTACATATCACGACAGTTAGCCTGGCCCAGTAGACACACAAGGCTGTGGGTAGTGCTCACTGGCAATGGCGCCCATGCTCACGATCGTGGTGATGAGATGGATCCGCCAATTGCGCACCTCGGGCGGATCATTGCTGTTGTTGGCATGGAGACTGAAACCCATGATGGCTCTGTACAATCCCAAGGCAGACCCGGGCAGGGCAAGGCAGGCAAGGCAGAGCAGACAGGGCAAAGCTGGTGGGGCAGGAAAGCCTTGGGGAGGCTGTGCTCCAGCTTTTATCTCCAGTCTCCACGACGATCGGATACCCACCGAGTGGATTCCCCCGCAACCCCGGATATCGCGACCAGGGTCCAGGCCCCGCGTATCAGGCCATTCATCCACCTGCTGGGGTATGCATGGGCGGCATTGGCCCGTGGCTTGGCTCCAGTGAGGCCCTTCTCCAACGGTGCAAAGCTGTGCCGAGCCCATGCGCGGGTCTTGGCCCGAGAGTCTGGCTATTAGGGCTGGAGAAGATGTCCAAAGACTGGTCGGTGCTTGCAGCAGGATCAATAGTATATAAGGTATCGTGCCGAGGCGTAGGACGAGATCAGAGGGAAAGCAGGAATGGGTCCGCTCCTGTCACACTTGCCCCTCTACATCAGTTAGACACTCAATGAACACCCAGATAGTGGAGCGGTATGGCGCCCACCTTTACGGCGGTCGCTGTCCGTGAAACGAATGTGGAGGAGATCTAGCTGTGGGATTGTATCACGAGCCCTTCTCATCTGCTTCGCGGACACAGGATGGGTGAGTGTCAAGGTCAATGCCATGGTAGGGGCGGAAAGACCGCAGCCCTGGAGTAGGAAACGCAGGGATGTTTTCCAACCAGTATCCGCAAGAGCGCAATTTGGGCACAACAGTAGAATCCTAAACGTGACCCTAGATTGCTGCCGAGTCAGAATTGAGGTCACACCTTGTCACTCTTTCCTTCAAGCGAGTCAACCCGCGATTTGTAGTATAGGGTAATCAATTCGGATGTCCATGCCCAGGAGATTGCAGACGACGACGTCTTGAGCTGTCGCGATACGTATGAGTTGGGCCTAGGGCCTGATTAGCCTCGTGTATTTCTCGAGCGCTTACTGGCACCCCATTGTCCATAGAAAGTGGCGCCCTCGATGGCATTGGAATACCATGAGCGCCGGTCACTCCGGACTACCACATAGTTCACTCCAGGTTGGTTGCATCGGTTATGTTGGTAACAGAGGGGTAAACCAGCAGAGGGACATGCTTACCTACGTATGGTAGAGACCAGCGCGGGCGTGAGGAATGAGAGGAGGCTGGAACTGCTTAGGCTCTTTTGCTAAGCTATAACACCTAGCAGGTCTTTGTTCTATCTTGCCTGCATAATTGACAGTTTCTTGGCAGATTGCAGCTTGAGGCACCGAACGGATGGGAATCGATGTTGATGTAGACGATTTGACAGCCGTGGTTTTGGTTGGAGAGGAGGAGAAGCAAGAAAAGTGAGTGCGTTATTGGCCCTCCGAAGGTCACCCCATTGGGAAGGAGCACTGGAATAGGTAGGTACATGTACCTACATAAGGTACCGAAGTGGGATCATACTAACCACACCTCGCATGGAACAGACAAGAAGAATAATACAAGCTGATTCAGGCATTCCTCCTACACACTCTCCCTCCTCTCCACACCAACCCAAAAGTCCGTGGGCTTCACAAACCACCGATCCTTCATCCCCCATTCCCCGGGCCTCTGCACCTGGATCTCAAAGTCATAGTCCCTAACCGGCACCGGAATCAACCTCGCCATCTCCAGCAGCGAGATGTTCTTCCCAATGCACGTCCTGGCGCCCGTTGCAAACGGCACGGAACTCTGCTGCATTGCTTTTAACTGCTCTTTGTCCACGTCTAACCAGCGCTCAGGTCGGAATGTCCGGTATTGAATTTAGAAGCCAACTTAGTCTATACTCTCAGATACCACGCAATATCTATCAATCCCACAAAGTCCCCAATAAGCCCTAACCCAATCTAAACACCCCCATCCTCACCATCCTCAACACCCCCCAACCACCCCCTCAACTCCTTATACCACGCCGTCGAGCCCACCGCCGCCAAGAACGCAATGAGCACAATCTTCTCCATCTGCGTCCGGAAACTAATGTCGTACTTCCAATACCGGGGCTCTTTCTCTTTCTGCTGCCCGTCTTTGGGTGCTGAAGCGTTGTTCAATGGAGTTTGGCTCGTTGAGAATGATGCTGTCGCAGGTCGACTGAGATTGGATCTAGCCCTAAGTCCAAGTGCTGCAGCGTGTATTTGGGGTCGCGTTAAGCTGGGATTTTGGCGGAGAGGGGCCACGAGGCGTAAAGGTGCACGCGTGGACATTGTAATGGCAATGGCAATGGCACCTGCAATATGTATGCGTATCTGTATGTGGACTATATGAACGCTTGGATTAGTCTAGTTAGCATGAAGGGCGTGGAGTGTAGCAATTGCTGACTTCTTTCGGGTGAGTGTAATATGGAGATCTGAGGCTTAGCAGCGGATTCAGCAACATCTGTGTGTTTATATACCATGTGGAGAGGTGACTCATCAGCGCTGGGGCTGAATGTACTGTAAAGTCAGCTGACACGCAGCGAGATGGGAATAGCTTCATGCGAGTCAGGGCTAAAAATAGATGCAGCCCCTCCCGTCCCGTCCCGTGGTTTCACCCGAAGGTCGCGATCCTTACTTACACCCTCTGGCCTGCATCGATCGATACCCACCCAATCTGGCCCACAGCGCTAATGTCCACTAGTTATTTATGACCATACAATTACACAGGGAATTATTATAATTAGCCACAGGCCAAGTAATTTATAGGCAGAGGATAGTACTATAACAAAGGGAAGTAAAATTGAAGCTATTTGCACCTTATAAGGTTAATATAAAAGCTAGAAATAAGCGAATAAAGCAAATTATACACACTGGCCGTTTAACTATTACATAGCGCTAGCAGCTCACTAAGTGGATCTCACCAAGTGGGTATCGATCGATGCAGGCCAGAGGGTGTAAATACTTAGGTAGGTATACTCGAGTACATGCGAACATCCGTTCTATAGGTAGATACCTATGTGCCATGGGCATCTTACGGCGGCCCGCCAGTTCCCCTTGTGCAGCACTTGACCTAGATTCCATCTGATATTTGTATATCACAGGGTATCTTGTGTAGTGGTATGGTCCGCGCAGATACCTCTGCAAAAGAAGAACAACAAGGGCCAGAGGTACTTGGAGGGTTGCAAAAACCTGGCGGGAAAACATTCATTCACCCGTCCTCTTTGCATGTGCGTTTATGAGAAAGTAGGAGGAAAAAGAAAGCATGTCTTGGCTGCATGACAGTCCAGCATTTAAGCCCAAAAGTGGGCGCCTAAAACTACCTCAAATCTCTCCCTGCATTTAAACGTCGTATATTTGGACAACTAAAGACCACCGTAAAAGCAACCAAGCTTACTAGCGATTCCACACAGTATGGCGCTTTTGCACTGCCCGTCTCGACCAACAGACATTGACGACCTGATCCGCCGCCTGACGAGCCCCGAGTGCAATGCGGAAGAGTCCAAAGCATTACAGGCGCTAGTGCAAGACATGGTCGAAACCTTCCAGGATGCGAAAAAATCGACATATCTGATCGAGGCGGCGAAGCTTGCTGGCCCGCAAATCACGGACGTGACCCAGTACAAGCGTCTGATGATTGCCTTTTCCAACGCGATTTTAGAAGATACCTCGGACAACAACGTGCTTGATGAGATTCTCTTAAGAACCTATGCTCTTGCGCTCCGCCGCAAGGCAGTCTTCTCGGCGGATAGCCACAATCTGGGCGCGGTACTTGATAGTCTACACAAGCGACTGGACAATGCGACCATGGCGGCAGAGACAGAAAAGACTTATCATCTCCTTTGTATGCTGGGTGTCGTGCTTGACGCCATGGTTGACGTCGAAGTCACTGGGCTCGATAGAGAGTCGCTGCATGAGCCACTGTTCGGCCAGCTCCACGAGCTGAAGAAGAGGCCGGAGCCACGCCTAGCGCAGACTGCGAGCTATGCTTATGAAGCTTTGAGAGGAGTTCCGGATAACGATGGGCCATGGCAGGCCATAGGAAGGACTGCAGCCGATTTGGTGACTGCTTTGGCAACTGTGGCAGGTACTATCACCAAGCTGGATCCGACAGGCTTGCTGGACGCGGCTCCAATTGTGATCCAGCTTCTGAGCGCCTTCAAGACCCTGGTCGACAACGGAAAACAAATGTGTGAAGAGGCGCAAAGCCTGAAGCAGGCATTCGTGCACACGGTCAGAGGCTTGACGAAACCGCGACAATGGTATACCGCGGTCCGCTATTGTCGGTTGTTTCTTGAGGCAGGAGCATTCGACATGTTGAAACAGATCTTGCCGGAGCTTCCTGACTATAAAGGGCTTTTTTGGTGTGGGTTGTATGCACAGCTCGAACAAACGTGGGTGGGAAACGACAAATTGCGACATGGAATTGGGGAGTTTATCGAATGGATGCATAGCCAAGAGACCTTGAACAAAGCCTTGCATGACCATGAAGAGCTCGTACAGTGGAGGAACATGGTTGCTGGTACCATGCAGAAGCCTCACTGGGTTGTCTCTCCTTCCAAGTCGCATCGACGCCATCCTCTTAAGTTCTGGAAGAAAAAGCAAGACAACCCGAGCTTGATGGAAGCATTCTGCTATCAGACGAATGTTCTGCAGGGTCTTTCATGTCGTCTCCTTTCCACGGCATGGCAGGGCTGCCACAAGGCACACAATTACTATGCTGACTCTCAGCTCGTGCACTATTACACCCAAAGCGATCGGTTGCAGATTCGACGAATTTCCGGGGTCTGCCTCGACCTCGAAGACTGCTATATCAACCTGAGCATCGTGAACAGCGCCGAACAATCAGGCCAGCGCCGTGGAGAGCTTGAACTTCCCCTGAAGGCGCGGCTGGGGGTCGACACACCCGCTTCAGAAGGGATCAAACTTCCCAATCTGTTTCAACAACGTGTTGCCCGGTCCGACTACAATGGGCGGCCTCGAAGGATGTTAATCCGCGGCCGTGCTGGGGTTGGTAAGACCACTCTCTGCAAGAAGATCGTGTCGGACTTTTACCATGGCAAGCTGTGGTCGGGCAAATTCGATCGCATCATTTGGATCCCCCTGCGCAAGTTGAAGGCGCATGCGACACTGGAGGGCTTTTTCGAACAGGAGTTCTTTTCCGCCGCTCAGGATGAAGCGCTTTACGCGAGAGCACTCCGGGCGCTAATCTTTGATGACAGCAACAAGGATCGTACTCTTCTCCTGCTGGACGGGTTTGACGAGGTGGTGGGTGAGATGAACCCCGGCGGACGCCTTGTCGAGACATCCCAATTCAACCGACTCTTCAAGCATCAGAACACCATCATGACAACACGCCCTTACGCCGCCCTGGCCCATGTTGATGAGTTCGATCTGCAACTGGAGACGACTGGATTTCGCACGCATGAGGTGCACGATTATGTAGCTCGGGTGGTTAAGGACGAGACTCATCAGAACGAAATCCGTAACTTCATCAAGGGCCACTCGGCAGATCTCCTTCGCATCCCTATTCAGCTGGACATCTTATGTTCTACCTGGGGAGACGGAATCCCGATGGATGTGCAGGTGGGGACCATGACGGCACTGTACCAGGCCATCGAGATCAAACTGTGGTGTAGGGACATGGCTTCATCCAGGAACATGGATGACAGCCGAGCCGGGAAATATCGATTGCGGCGGCAGATTGAGCAGGAGATGGGCAATGAGATGAAGTTTCTTGAATCGCTGGCCTTCAACGGGCTCTTCCACAATGTCGTCGAGTTCCTTCCTCAGCACCGAGACTCGCTGTACACGCGCTTTCCCAACTGCAGCGACGACAAGCTCGAGAGACTCTCCTTCCTCCGAAGTCCAGACTCCGGCTCTTCCGTCTACTACTTTATCCATTTGACGTTCCAAGAATTCTTTGCGGCCGCATACTTTGTTCGTCGCTGGGCTGAGAATAAGCCGTTGTATATTGCCGGATTCGATCAGGGTCAACCTAAGGGCCTCTCACTCAATGATTTCATTCAACAAGCAAGATACAATGGCCGCTACAATGTCATGTGGCGGTTTGCTTCTGGGATGCTGTCGGCTCAACCAGACCAGACCAAGCTGTGTGAATTGCTGCATGAGTTGGACGCGGAGCCTCGCGATCTGCTCGGACCAGCACATCTTAATCTTATAATGCATTGCTTTCATGAAGTGGTTGTGAAAAGAGACTTTCCTGATGGTCCTGGCCTGGATCGTATGGTCGTAGTAAGGGATGGTCTTGACCTCATGCGGTCCAAACTGGAAGCCTTGTTATCTACGCTCCCTGGCGACTCAGGAGGCATCCCAATGAACAGGTTCTGTTCTCAGATGGAGTTCCCGGAGTATTTCCTGCAGGAGCGCCTTCAACACGAATGGCCAGAATTCCAACACTTCGTCTTGGAGATAATCGAAAAGAGGGACAGGATATCGCACGGCTTGCTGCAGATCGTCTCGAGCATTGCCATGAATCCAGAGAATTGGAAATTTTCAAGACGGGATGCGTTTGGTGTCATGGCAAAGCATTCAGAATCTGTGCAAGAAGAGAGCAAAAGGATTCTAAAGCATCTCGGCCCTCAGGTGCATCAACTGTGGCTTGACGTGGTATCAATGCATCGGGACTTGTCTGGCGAGACAGCCCTAGTGCTCTACATGTTACCTTACTCACAAGCTCACACTACCCGTGCCAATAAATTACAGATGGCATTCCAAAATGCAACCATATCCCAACCGACTTTGTTCAGTCTCCTCGTGGATAAGCGGCCGTGGTTCAGATCTCTCGCCGCTTACAATCTGGAGCAACACACGGCCATGTCCGATGAGGGCTGGAAAATAGTTCTGGATCTGCTGACGGATCCCAACGGAGCTGTCAGGTCCTCCACTGTTGAAGCCCTCTGTCGCACGCATAACGACCTACCGCTGCCTATTGTCGAGGCTGTAGCTTCTATTCTCGTGGAGGGCAAAAAGGGCAAACGTAAAGAAACCCGAGAAAATGCGGCGAGATGCCTTCGAAATCAGAATCGATTGTCAGCAGAGATACTCGCGGTAATCGAAGGCTGCATACTAGATGATAGACTCGCACGAGAAGTCGAGTACGCTGCTGTTAAAGCTCTCTGTTTCCATGGCCCCATGTCAACAGAAATAAAGACTCGTCTAGAATCTATCATCCGAGCCTCGGGCCAGCCCCTGCCAAGGGCCATAAAGCCAAAGGCCGTAAAGCTATTGTCCCGCTATTCGACCTACGCTGACGATTTACTGAACTCATTGAGGTCCGTCCCTGCAGGGGTTAAGCTGCAAGTCCCTCCCCAAGCGGTATTCTTCTTTGACAGGTTTACAAGTCTCCCGGTAGGCCTCCTTCAATGCATTGTGCCTTATCTGGAAAGTCGGAGGACCACATATGCGGCAGCGAACGTCATTAGGGCTCAGAAAGAGCTTCACCCTTGCATATTCAAGGACCTCACTCGCCTGTTGCAGCATGACAAGGAGCAAGTCAGGGCAAATGCAGCTTACGCCCTCGCAAGCTCTTTAACCGTCCCCAGAGAATGCGTCGAGGCCCTCCGTTCGGCCCTCCTCTCGCTTCTAAATGGAGGGTCCGACGGGACCAGAGCCCACGCGGTCAGGGCATTGGGGAACTGCTGGGATATGTCTGATTACGAAAGCTTTCTGGAGTTGCTACTTCCTTTTCTGTCTTCTGACCATTGGGGCCTGGGAGCGGCGTTAACAGACGCCTTGCTCAAAGTCACTCAGTTGCCGCTCCATATCCTCCAAGCAATAGTCTCCCGCCTGTTCAGTTTCAGCGGTATCGGCAGTGTCTCGCTGACGGCCGTCCTGAAAGCGCAAGCCACCCTCCCAGAAGCCGTGCTCAAATCACTTCTAGAGTATTTTGAGAAGAGGAGAGACCCAGCATGGGGAGTGCTAGAGACCCGGGAAGAGTTCTTCCACATGATCCCGCATCTCAAGCAGGTGTATCTAGTGGCGCTATTCAAAGCGCTTATATACGAGGCCTTTGACCCAGAGGGCACACCCATTTATTGCTACTTCCAGGAAAACACGCTCTTCATCAACCTCCCCGCGCGGCTATGGGAAGTGCCCATGAAGAGTGCCGAGAACAAGGAAAGAGCTCTAGAGGCATTGAGGGTAGCACGGCGGACTATCTTCATCGAGCCGCCTGCCGAGTCATGTTATCGTTTGCGGATGGGCTTTGCCGGCTGCGGGTCCGGTATCATGCTTTGACCATGGATAGGGCACTTGTGTGCATGGATTATACAATATGATGAATACTCTATATTCTGAGGCTGTGCACCACTGTATGTCACGAGGTAGGGCTATTGCTTATCTATTTTTTTCAGTAAAGGATAGGGTTGCCGTGTGTATCAAGTGAGGATGTAAGTGACTGGTTGGTCAAGTTGATATTCAATACCAATTCCTAAGTCATTCCCTTTTAACTATAGCACGGTATGCCCTACAGATGGCATAGAGGGCTGTAGGTGAGCAGTAGGCACGGGACAATCTGGATCTGGATCTGGATCTGTATAGGCGTTGCCTGGACTCTGTACCATAACTGGAGGGTTCACTTGCAGTCTGCTCCGGTATATGGCCATCGTCCCAGGTTCTCTTGCGAAGCCACTAGTATAGAACCTTGCAGGCTTGGCTGTATACAACGGCGGGAGTAACCAGAATGCAGTGACCTACCCTCACATCTTGGGAACTGCTTCATAACGCTACGTAGACAGATGACAGTACATAAACCTACATACTTAGAGCAGAGTGTTCATTCTCCCCAGACCTCCATGCCTCACCTAACTACCCACCTAGGTACATGCCTACCAGCCCAGCCTACCAGCCCGAGTGCGTCTGCAAGAACTCAAGCCTCTCCCTTCCCCTCCCTCACCCAAACCCTCATCCTAACCCTCGGATCCGGAAACGCCGCAGCCCCATCCATAACCAGCGTCTCCCCCGTATTCCCACCCACAAACTCAAACCTATACGCCATGAGCAGCCGCGCAAACAGCATCCGCGTGATCGCCGTCGCCATGAACCGCCCGGGGCACGAGCCCTTCCCGTGGCTGAACGCCAGGAACGCAGGCGAGGTTGTCGTGATGCGCGGGGCGCACGTGTTGGTAGCGGTGTCGTAGAAGCGCAGGGGGTCGAATGTGTCTGGGTTTGCGTAGTGCGCTGCGTCGTAGTGCGCTGCCCGGCTGGGCGTCATGATCATTGTACCCTGTGGCAGGTGGAGTGGTGGGGAGAGCGAGGTTAGTGTTATGCCTTGTGGCGTTAGTGTGAGGCGGAAGCCGGCGACTGTGACATACATGTTAGCATGTGTCTGCAAAAGGGGCCGAGGGGAGAGGGGAGAGGGAGAAGAGACGGGGCTGCGTACACACCGAGACGTCGTACATGCGGAAGATCTCGCGGGTGAAGCTCTCCAGCTTGGGCGTGTGCTGCAGCAGGTGGCGGTGGATGGTATCTCCTGCGTCTTCACAGTGCTTCAGCGCCGCCTTGACCTCGGCATGCAGCATGTCCGCTTGCTCCGGGCTGCGCATGGCCTGGTACAGCATGTGGGTCACGATGGTGCCTGTGGGACGGGCCAGCTCGAAGTGGTACAGGAGGGATTGCTGGCAGAGGAGGTCGGCAACTCGGTGGTGTTCTGCCGGGGTGGTTGGGTGCGCCTGTTTGGCGAGGGTGGTGAGGATGAGCGCGTTGAGGAGGGAGAAGGAGCTGCTGTCTAGGTTGTTGTCTGCGGACATGGCAATGGCGAGCCGCTGCTTGATCTCGGGGATCAGACGCGCTTTCAGGCCTGCCAGGACAAGTCGGAGCCGTCGCGCTGTCCGCGAGAAGTACCAGACCAGCGGCTTCACCGGGCGTGGGGACTGTGCTCGCAAGAGCCGGAGCTGCAACATGCTGACATTGTAGATGATTGCCCCGGCTGTGACCTCCACGAGCAGATCCGCGGGGCAGCCGGGTCCAAGGAGCAGGGAGGTGGCGATGGCCGAGCTTGCAGCAGTGACGGACTCAAGCACAGCAAGCTCGGTGGAGTCTGGAGAACGGTCACTCTGCTGAACTTGGACGGGGAGAAGAAAGATACGAACCGTGGCCCTTGGGCGGGTCGAACACAGGGGCCAAGTGCTTGGTTGACTCGACGGCGAGCAATTGGTAAAACTGGGCTAGGGCTTGAATGAGCTGGGGTCTGGGATGGACGCAAAGGACAAGGACAAGCACGTACTCAGGCTGGCTTCCCTGTTGACCGCATGGACCGTCTCGATCTGCACGCGGCTCGTAACGTCCATGTAGAGGTATAGATCCGCAAACTGTGCAAAGCCGTAGTCAGTGCTTGCATGTTGAAGAGGAAACAGACACCCACCAGGGACAAGGCATCCAAAAAGCTCAGCTGCTCGTGGCCAATTGCCCTGGCTTCCTTGAGCGCACTCGGCGGCAGGGCAATGGCGTAGCGGCCGTCCTGGACCCGGGCGGCAAACGGCCTGCCCTGCTTGCTGTGGACGTTATAGGCATGGCTGAATGCGGCCTCTGCATCGAACGGGCAGCTCCTCCAGCGCAGGGCCGGACTGAGATTGCTCCCTTCGTCCACGATGGGGATGTGGCCGAGTGCTCGTCTCCGGCGCCAGCCATCGATGTAGTCTGAGACGACGACGAGAAGGAAGAGGGCCAGAGCGCCGCCGAGAGCCAGGAAGATAGGGTAAGCCATTTCAAAGTAACGAACAGTGGTAGATGCTGGAAGTGGAGGTGGGAGTTGGGCTGATGCCGGGGGTGGGCTCTTCCCTTTCTTCACTCTCTGTTCTGTGCAACAGGGCCGTTCCATCCTTGCTTCTTCCAGTTCCGGGGAGAAGGTCAGCTGAGGATAGGCCGATGGAGGTTGCACGATGATGGAGCAATCAGAAACAGCCCGAGGTAGTCCATCAGTCCGAGCAGTCCGAAGCACCATCCGAATCAGCCCGAGCCATGATCCGACCCCAATGCGGGCCAGACCAGGGCTTCCTGGATGGCATGAAGCATGTGAAGAGACAGGACGATTGCAATGCCAGCCGGCCAGCTGCATGACTGCCAGTGCCAGACAAGCCCCGGTCCCCGAGGTTGTTCACAACGACCCCCCCTTTGCCGCCAAATGCAAGAGCGGTGGCATTCTCGTTACTGGCATGACTTGAAATCCATTTGGCAATGCAGCGCAGAGCTGCTAAGAGCTTGGAGGGGGGGATGGGGGAGCTGGGCACTGGACGCTGGGCCGAGCGTGATATCGGGGGCTCTGTATGAGCCATATCCTTTGTAGTCGTAGCCAACTTGCGCAGGTAGGTGATGGACCTCAGACTTGAAGGCACCTGCTTTACGCAGTTAGACTGCCCTTGGGACCTTGTGCCTTTGGTTAGCTCGTTTGTCCGTCTTTCCAGATTTACATGGAAGGAACGAACCAGCCATGGCATGAGAAGTGGCAGTCTTTCAAAGGTGCATTCCTGTTTCTAGCTAGGCCTCAAATTATGGCCAACGACTCTTGCAGTAAGCCAGACAAGTCAGAGATAGAACAGCTGCAGAAGCAGGAAAGCTTGCAGTCAAATCAAATGCAACAGTAGAAAGCGGTCCCCATCGCCATGACCCTACAACATCCCTCCATCCACCCTCTACCCCAACTCCGCCTTCATCATCCCTACCGTAGGGAACTCAATGAAGAAGCTCGCCGGCAAATGCACCCCCAGCTCCAGCGCAAACTTCTCCACCAGCACAAGCGACAGCAGCGAGTCGATCCCCATCGAGGCCAAGCATGTCTCGTCCGTGAGCTCGGCCACGGGTATGCCTGTTTCCGCTGCAAGCAGCGCCAGTGCTTTGCTGGCTTTGCTGTTGGGCTTGCATGCGGAGGGATCCGAGTCCGGGGTTGGGCTGGTGACGATGGAGGACGAACTGGCAGTGGAGCTGGTGACGGAGCTGGAGCTGGAGTCGGGGGCGCCTCCAGACGCGATAGCTTGGGAACTCCGGGCGGTTGGCATGTTTTCCTTGTGGACGTCCTCCACCTCGTCAGGCGGGTCGAAGAACCGGCGCATCAGGATCCTCGGTAGCGGCCGCAGCGTTACGCCCCCAACGACCCCGATGATCGTACTGTCGTCATCAACATCCAGCACGTAGACATCGCCGGAGAAGAGCCCCGCTGCACCGGCGTCGTCTGCTGTCCGCGCTGCCATCCGCACATACGAGCGGTACCGCCTGCCCGGGACCAGCGCCCGGCCAAAGCGCATGGACCCCCAGCCCTCCATCACATACGCGGTGTTCACATTGTCAATGTCAATACCCTGCGCACGGCCAGCCCCAGCGTTCATCACGAACCCCGCGACGTGCGCGATGCTGTCGACGTGGTGCGGCGGCGCGGTCCACCAGCTCTCAGCCGGCGACACCACCACCTCGGCTACAGCTTCAGTCCCGCACACAACGGCCGCCTGGATCCCGCGGTATGCAGCCGCGTAGTCGACAATGCTGCTCTTGAACAGGCGGTACACTGTCTCGCCGGTCAGCCGGTCTGCGCGCCCTTGCTGCGCGAACTCGTGCAGGGCGTCGATGCGGCTGCGCACGAGATGCGCCATCCTCGCCCACTCGGTTAGCCAGCTGTAGGCGTCGCCCGTGCTGACAGTCCCTGTTGCCAGCAGCGTCGTGCCTGCGCTCTCGCCGGGGGCGACGCGCTGGAATGACACCTCCATGTGCGCTGGACTGGTCGCCTCCATGTGGATGCGCAGGTGCTGGGCCCTCGAGCGGTCCTTGCGTGGAAGTAAGCCCTCGAGAATGCGGACGTTGCCGAAGTTCATGGCCGCGGTGGCGGAGTTGGCCTTGTTGGACGCATTGGTGATTTTGGCGAGCATGTATCTCGCTAGCGAGAGTGCCATGTCTGGGTACGAGAACTAGAGACTGGTCAGTAGCTGCCGCATCAATGCTCCGATAGGGGGCTGAGACGTACCACCGACATCACAGGCCGCCCACACATCTTGTGCCCCTCGGCCAGCGCAACGAGTTCGTCACTATGGACGTCCGACTCCATGACCACGCGCCCCCCGGCATCCCAGAATGTCTCCTCGACCATGCGATGCAGAAGTGGCGCGCGGAATGAGAGCCCTGCGAACATCGACGTCTCCGTACCCTTTTCCACCGCCTTATCCTTCCATAACAGCCAGTCCCCGTTATGCTGGATCCAGTAGTTCTTCAGGTGCCACGCATACCCTGGCAGATCCAGCAGTCTGAGCTGCGGCTCGAACGGCTTGAACCACTCGTTCCAGTCCAGCAAAACGCCCGCCTCGTACAGAGTCGCCATGCTCCCCGCCAGCGTGTGCCAGTTGTCCTGGTCGGACCGCAGGCTAGACACGATGGTCGGAGCGGTGGCAGTGTCAGTGTCAGCTGTGTTGACAGTCGCGCGGACCGCGCCGCTGTATGTCGGATGGATCCCAACCTCGACAAAGACCGTGTGCGCCCCGATCAGAGCCTCTTGCTGAGCTCTTTCTAGGGCCGCGGCGAACCGCACCGAGCCGCGCGTCGCGTCGGCCAGGTACGAGGGCGGCAGCTGTGCATGCTGCGGCAGGGTATGCGCCAGCAGCGGCGAGAGCAGAGGCACGCTGAGCGGACGGAGGGGCACCTGCTGGGTGATCTCCCTCCACTGCGGCAGAATTGGGTCCATGTGGAACGAGTGGAATGCGTAGGGCAGATTGAGCTCTGTCCCGCGGTAGCCCTGGGCCTCGAGCGCGGCCTTGATCGACGCAGTGGCGGGCCTCGTCGCGGCAATGGTCAGGCTGCGGCGAGCGTTGATGCATGCGACCTCGTAGTCATACTTGTACGCGGACGCTGGCCCGTCGCTGTCGCCATCCTTGACTCGCGCGGAAGCAACACACTGCGCCAACTCCTCCTCTGTTGCTTGCACGGCGAGCATGGCATGTGTGTTGGGCGTGCAGAGCTCCATCATGAGCTTTGCGCGCTGCCCGACGAGATAAATTGTGTCGCTGGCAGAGAGAGCGCCCGCCGCATGCAGGGCTGCATACTCGCCTAGACTGGCGCCGATGACGAGCGTCGGAGTCACCCCTAGGCTCTTCCACAAATAAACAAGGGCCATTTGCACGCAGACGGATGCCAGCTGCGCCATCAGGGGATCAGGATTAAGGCTGCTGCTGATGTTGGCAAGCCGGCCTCCGGCTGGGCGGGTGGGATGGAACGCGGGGAGAATGGATGGGAAGCCGTGGCGGACGCACAGGGCGTCGAGGCGGTGCATTTCCCTTGCGTAGGGGGGCCAGTTTTCCAGGAGGTCGTGGCCGATCCCAGCGTAGTAGATGCCCTGTCCGGAGAAGACAAAGGCAATCGAGGGCATTCTTAGTGCCATGCCCTGGGGCTGAGAGGATAACTCCAGTCCTTTGATAATTTCTGCAATCGAAGAGCCCTGGATTGCAATGCGGTGTACGTGGTGCATGCGCCGTGCAGTCGTGGTATACGCTAGACTGCCGAGATGCGTGGTTGGATGTCGGCGAAGGAAGGCAACCAGGCGCTCGATATTTCGCTTCAGCGACAGCGGGTGCTTTGCTGAGACGGCAACAACATAGCTGGTCGCAGGACATGCGTTCGCACTCGGCGGGGGGCGTTGAGGCGGCTCCTCCAGCAGCAGGGCTGTGTTTCCTCCCGCTGCACTGAAGTTGTTGACCAGGGCGTACCGCTTGCGGCCGGTCCCAACAGGCCACGAGACCGTCTCTGCGGGGATATGAACATTCAGCTTCTGCAGGTCGGGGAATCGCGAGTTCAGCGCTGTCTTGATCCCGATATGCCGAGGGATGGCGTTGTGCTGGAAGATCAGCAGCGCCTTGATCAGCGACGTGACCCCGGCCGCCGCCTCGCCGTGCCCTAAGCTGGCCTTGACGGAGCTAATATACAGTCGCTCGGTGCGGCGGGGCGAAGTGAACACGTTGGTCACAGACTCCATCTCCGCGGCGTCGCCTGCTTGCGTGCCCGTGCCGTGCATCTCAACCAGGTCGACCTCCAGCGGAGAGACCCCAGCCTGCCTCAGGACTGTTCGGTAGAGCGCCTCCTGCGTTGGAGCATGAGGGTGTGTGATGGACACTGCTGCAGAGGAGTGGTTGGTGGCGGTGGCCAGAATAACGCCGAGGATGTTGTCATTGTCGCTCTGCGCGTCGGCCAGCCGCTTGAGCACCAACGAGGCGACGCCATCGCCTCGACAGTAGCCGTCCGCCGCGTCGTCAAAGACCTTGCAGCCGCCAGTCTTGGACAGGAAGTGAGCCCGACTTAGGCCGGCAAAACTGTCGGAGCTGGTCAGCACATTCAAGCCTCCAGCAACAACCATGTTGGCTTCGCCCCGGCTGAGGACTGCACAGGCAATCTGCACGGCTGCCAGACTGGCGGAGCATGCCGTGTCGCAGCTGAAGCTGGGGCCAGCGAGCTTGAAGAAGTAGCTAATCCGGCCAGGCGCAAAGGCCCGGTAGTTGCCGGGGATGAAATACATGTCGATCTCCTGCCCGGCATTCGCCTCGCGGTAGTCATCCGAGCACTGCCCGTAGATTGTGCCCACAGTCGCCCTGGTGGTAGATGAGGTACGCTCAGGGACATAGCCGGACTGTTCGAGCGCTTCGTACGCAGTCAGGAGCGCCAGGCGATGGGTCGGGTCTGTCTGGCCCGCCTCGCGCGGGGACATGTCGAAGAAGCCGGTGTCAAAGAGGCCGGGGCTGTCGATAAAGCAGCCAAAGGGGGTCTGGCTGGTATTCATGCGGGTGCCAGTGGAATCGGTGTGTGTTTCGACATTGTAGCGGTCGGGGGGAACGCGCTGGTGCAGGTCGCGCCCTTGCTCAAGAAGCTCCCAGAAGCGCTGCAGGTCGTCTGCGCCTGGGAGGCGGCAGGACATGCCCACGACTGCAATCTTGCCGTCGCTGGATGCCGCGACATCGCCACCTCCGTGGTCATCGGCCAGCCACGCCGTCAGATCGTGCACCGCGGCGCCGCGTAAAGCCTGCACCAGTCCATCAATCACCCCGGGGCGTCCACAGCTCTCGACCACCAAGCCGTTTCTCTCTTCATCACTGAGTTCCAGCGCAGCGATCACTTCTCCCCACCGGATAATCTGAGTCAGTAGGATGTGGGTCGCTTCTTCGAAGAGCTCGAATCCCGTCTGCGCGCGCAGCGGCTGCCCATCCGCCATGGAAAGCAGCCGTGGCGCACTCGCGCACTCTCGTCGTCCAACCTCCGGGCGCACGTGTTCTACAACCCACGAGACATCGGCGCGGTCATACAAGTGGGCTGCATGGCACGGTCCGCCATGCACGGGGAGCGGGGCCCGGGGCGCCGACTTGAGAGGGCCAGGGCTGCTAAACAGCTGACGCATCCTGCTCGGCGGGCCATTGATGAAGACGCCACCGTCGGGTTCGACGACGCTGATGTAGATACGGCTCAGACCTGCGCGGGGCGTTTCCTGCACAGTCAGTCTCGTCTGCCGGGTTAGAAGAAATGATGCCCGTACCGTGGCATTGAAGCCATCCAGCTCCCGCTGCACAGCCTCCTCGCCCAGCCCCTTGACTAGCGTCGTCCAGCTCTGCAGCGGCGCATCCAGGCTCTGCGGCTCGAGGTCTTGCGCGCGCTGGTAGACCACGATGCCTGCGCGCATGGCGATCCGGATGACATCCGCCGCTGCTGCGGGGACATCGGTAAGTGCAGGGGATGCGACAATCGCTGTTGCTGCGAGGAAGCCCAGCCCCAAGCCCGTTACGGTGGCGTCGTCGCGGCTGAACCGGAATGCATGCGGGCGGGTCTCGTAGTCCCTGCATCTCTTAGCATCCGCTTGCTTTGCGTGCATTTGCAGCTCGGGTTGAATGCAGTGGCTCCATCTAGGTAAGTCGGCACGGATTCTTACCCGACAAACAGTCCCAGACTCGCCAGGCACAGGAACACGCATTCGAATGTCCCCGCCAGCGGACACCGCTGCCAATCATACCCTTCTGCTAAGTCCAATATTGACTGAAACGGGGGCAACAGGCTGCGCAGATCGGCGGGAAGCAGGCGTATTTCGTCTCGAATTGCTGCGGTAGTTTCATCCAGCAGTTGCCGTAGGACGAGATGTTGAGGTGCCTTGCTTTGCTGTCGTAGACGCCGGAACAGCTCGCAGGGGTTCTCCACGGGGAATTTGTTGCTGAAGAAAATGACCTGCATGGCAGCTTGTACTTCTTTGCGTACGTTTGCCAACATAGAAAGACGGACTAGTAGACGGCTTCATTGATCTGGGTATGCAGGGACGGAGAGAGGATTCATATCCTGGCAAGCCATTCCACTGAGGATTCCATCTGCAGCGATGGTGGTTGCCTGAATGCAGTCCAGGTGAGCAGCAGTGATGATCTCATTCTCGTGACAGATAGGCTCATCGAGGCCATTCTTAGTGAGCACATATCCTTCATTTTTGAGGATTGCAGCAAAGTCGTCTGCATTGTACGACCGGGCATTGTTGTAATTCCACCATCATGATAATGCAAGTGGCAGGATGCTGCCGCGTTTCTTTTTTCTTCTCTTTCAATGCCCTTCCTCAGGTTCCACGGCCGCTTGCCAGAGATAAGCAAGCTCCTTCCCTTTGGCTTCCTTCTGGCTGATACCATAGTCGCAACTGGGAGATGACCTGGCTTCTTACCTTTGGCTTCCCTTGGCTAATGCCACCACCGGGGAGGTCACAGTTAGGGTTGACTAGAGCCCGCGGGTTAGGCATCCGCTAAGACGCGCTAGTTTTAATACAGTAGGCAGGCTAAGATTTAGCCTAAATATATAAGCTAATTATTTTATTTTTTTTATATTTTATTAATTTTACTAGGTACTAAGTTATAACTAGTTAGCTTTATTAGCTAACTTTATAATAATATAAAAAAACTAGTTATTAATTAAGTATATTAACTTTTTTTTTAAATTTTTTTTTTTACCTTTACTTTTTACCTATTTTAAACCTAACTAGTTAGGGCTAACTAGTTAAAAGTAATTAATTATTATTTTTTATTAATTATTTTTATTAATTAATTTTTAATTAGTTACTACTTAGTGCCTAACTAGTTATTTTTTAATAATTATTTTTTATAAGTTTATTTTTATTAATATTTTTAACTAGTTACTACTTAGTTCCTAACTAGTTATTTAATATAATAATAAAAAACTAGGTATTTAAAACCTTTTTAAAGTATTAGTAGTATATAAAATTATATATTACTAGTATTTTTAAGCTTTTAAAGTTTAAAATTATAAGTTAACTAAACCTTAACTAGTTAGTAATAAGTTACTAACTAATTTAATTTAATATTAACCTTATTAATAGTAAGCTTAAAATTTCTAAAATTTATATTAAAAAGTACTAGTGCTAGTACCCTAAGTATACCTTATTAATAAATTAATTAATATTTAACTAATATTTAATTAATAACTAACCTTTTATTTAAAAAAATTATAGTATAAAATCTAACCTTACTAGGCATGTTAAAAAAATATATATTAAAAAAAACCCTTTTTATACCCCTAACTTTTACTTAACTAATTATAATAAAAAACCCCTAAATAATAATAAGGTTAGTAATATAATTAATAAGTAAATAGCCTATTTTTAACTAGTTACTAACTAATTACTAACAAGTAATAAAATAATATAAAATACTTATTAAAAACTATATTAATTACTAAAAGGCTTAAGTTATAAAAAAAATAAGTATAATAATTACCTATTTTTAACTAGTTTTTAACTAGTTTTTAACTAGTTAAATATTATAAAAGTAATACTAGCTAATTAACTTTTACTTTTAGCCCTAAAAAAAAGGTAAGTTTTTTAATTAATAAGTAACTAGTTACTAACTAGTTAGCCCTATTATTAATTTTATTTTTAATAAGGTTAAAAAAACTTTTATTATTACTTTTAAAAATTTTATATAAGTTTAAGCCCTAACTAGTTTATAATTAATTATTAATTAATTATTTTTAAATCCCCTTTTCTTCCCCTTTTTATTATTAAGCGCCCTTTTATTTATTATTATTATAGTTATTTATAATATAGTAATAAAGGGCTTAAAATATATATATATATTAAATACCCTTAACTAGTTATTAACTAGTTATATATTAATATTATTTTAACCCTTTTTAAAAATAATAATACCTAGGTTAATTATAAAAAGTTTATTAAGCTTAATAAAAAATAAAAGGCATAAGTTATTTTTATATTAACCTTAACTAGTTATTAACTAGTTACTTATTAGTTACTTTTTTTTATATAGCTAAAAAAGTATTAAGCCCTTCTTACCCCTTAATAAAAATAAATAAATAAGTTTTTTTAACTAGTTTATAACTAGTTTTTAACTAGTTTAGTTAAATAATTTTAAAATTTAAAAGCTAGGTAAGTAGCTTGCTTTATAAGCTTATAAAATTAATTTTAAAGCTAATATAAAGCTTATGGTGCCCTACGCAAGTTATAAAAAAATAAAGACTAAGTATAAATTTTTTTAATTAATTTTTAATAAGTTATTAACTAGTTAGCCTGCGGAAGCACCTTTATTTATAACTTTTAAAAATTTTATTAAATATTTTATTATTTTAATACTTAAAATGCTGCGTAAAAAGAAAAGATATAAAATAAAAAACTTAATAAAAAGTAACTATAAGCTATAATAAAAAAGGTTAAAAAAATTAATAAATAATTAAAATTAGCTTTTTTTAAAAATATAATAACTAGTCCTTAACTAGTTACTAACTAGTTACTAGCTATTTATTTTTTATTATTTTATTTTTTTAAACTAGTTCTTAACTAGTTACTAGCTATTTATTTTTTATTACTCCGTCTTTTTTTAAAAACATGGTAACTAGTTCTTAACTAGTTCTTAACTAATTATTAACTATTTATTTTTTATTACTTTGTTTTTTACATACATCTAAATTAAAAAGTAATTTTTATTTTCTAAACATTTAATATATACAAAGTAAATAAGTATAATAGTTAATTTATATTATATAAGTAAATAATATAATAAAAATTAAAAAAATATTAAAATTAGCTAATATATTATTTAAAAAAAGGCCTTTTATAATATATAATATATAATATTTTTATTTATAAAGAGATATATAGTATTATTTTAATATTACTTTTTAAAAATTTTCAATTTTATATATATTAAATATATTTTTATTAACTAAACCTTTAAAAAATAATTAATATATTATTTTAATAAAAACCTTACATTTTTATTTAAATAAATAATATATATAATATTATTTTAATTTTAATAATAGGAATAAAAGTATTCTTATTAACTAAACCTTTAAAAAATAATTAATAAATATATTATTTTAATTTTTAGCTTTTTATATTTAAATAAATAAATTATAAAATGTTATATNTATTTTATTTATTTTATTTATTTTATATATAAGTATAATATAGTTTAAATATAAATTAAGAGATAAATTAAAAAATAAAAAAAAATAAAAAAAATATTTTTATTAAACTAGTTATAAACTAGTTAACAACCAGTTAGGTAAGTGCTAGGTGTTAATAATAAATATAAAAATAAAGCAGGTAGTAAGCTTGTAACTAGGCCCTGTTATAAAAAAAAGTTATTAAAAATTAGTAATAATAATAGTAAATTATTAATTTATAAAGTTATAGGGGGCTAAAGGTATAATAATTAATAAAATTAGGCTAGGGGTAAACTAACTAGTCCTTAACTAGTTATAAAAAAAACCTAGTTAGTAAGCTAAGCACAGGCATAACTAGTTCTTAACTAGTTATTAAAAAAATTAAGGCTTATTAAATTTTAAATAAAACTAGTGCTTAACTAGTTAGGCCTGTATATAATAAGTTAAATAATTATTTTTTAGGCCTAGTAAGTAAAGTAACTAGGGGGTAATAAGTCCCTAACTAGTTAATAATTATTATTTTAAAGTATTTTTTAAAAATAGCTTTTAATTTTTTAAGTACTACTTTTATACTATAACTTATTATTTTTAAAACTTTAATTAAGCTTATAACTTAGCCTAATTTTATATAGCTATTTTTATTATAAAAAATAATAATTTAACTAGTTAATAATTAAATTATAACTAGTTATAAATAAAATACCTAAGGCTTAAAAATTATAGTCTTTATTATAAAGTAATAAACCTAAAGGTTAATTTAAAATAGCTTTATTTTAAAAATTTAAAAAATAATATAAATTTTATTTAAACCTTATATTTTAGGGCAAAAGCTTTTTTTTTTAAATTTATATTAAGGGCTATATTATTTTTTATATTTTACTTTTATTTTTATATTATAATTAGTTAGTAATAAGTTAAAGTTTAATAAGTAATAAGTTAGGGTTTAGTAAAAAACTAGTTAAAAAATTTTTATATAACTTATATTATTACTATAACTTTAAAGTAAGTTAAGCTACCTTATTATTATTTTAAAAGTTATATATAATATTATATATTTCCTAGGTATTATATTAAAATATATCCTGCTTATTTAAAATATAAGTATTAAGTTAAATAATTAATAATTAAATACTAACTAGTTATAAACTAATTTTTACCTAGTTATTACTTATATAATTAATAGCTTTTTTTTAATAAAAATATATAATTTTTAGTAGGTACTCTTGCCAGTATTAATATAAAAATAGGCCTTTTTAAAATATATATATAATATTTATAAATAATATAAATTAAGGCTAGTAAAAATTATTATTATAATCTTATAAATAACCTATTATCTTACTTTTAGTAAGACCTAGGGTGCTAAAATAAATTAATAAAAAAAATTAGTTAAAAACTAGTGCTTAATTAGTTTATAACTAGTTATTTACTTTAAAAAAATATAATAATATTATAAAACTTATTAAAAAATTAAGTATAAATAAGGCTTGCCATAAGCTAGTATATTATTATTTTTTATTAAAACTTTTTAATTATATTTTTAATTTTTTATAAAAAATAAATTTAATAAAAAATAGTAATATTATAAAGCTACTATTAATAAAACTAGTTATTTAAATTAAGACTTTAAAAATATTTACTAAGACCTAACTAGTTAGTAACTAGTTAATAACTAGTATTAAAAAAATATTTTTTATTTAACCTTTATTTATATTTATAATAATTATTTTAAAGCTTTATTAATAAAAATACTAAAATCTTACTAGTTTTCCATAAATTACTTTAAGTAATTTAAAAATTTTAATAAATAAAATTTTATAGGTATCTCTTAATTTTTAGTTTATAAATACTTAATAAAGTATAATAATTAATATAACTAGTTAGTAACTAGTAATTAACTAGTTATTAACAAGTGTTAATTAGTTTATTTTTACCATGTTTTATAAAAAATATAGTAAAAATAATCTTATTAAGGTTATTATTATTTACCCGCTTATAAAATATATTTATTTTAAAAAAGCTTAAAAATTATATAAGTTTAAGCTACTTATTAAAAGTATAAATAATAATTATAAAATTTTTATATAAATAAATATCCTAAATATATGCCTAAAATAAGTTAGTAACTAGTTATTAACTAGTTAAATACTTATACTTACTTATAATTTTAAAATTTAAATTTTTTTTAAAGTATAGGTTATTAATATTCTTATCATGTAAGTATATTAATAGCTTTTACTTAATTATTATAATAAATATTTAATTTATATTAGTAAATACTAAATAAATATTACCTAAATAATTAATACTATACTTTTAATAAAATTTATTAACCTGTGGACTACAAAGAAGTTAACCTAAAATAATTAATTAATAACTAGTAGCTAACTAGTTAATAACTAGTAAATTATACTTACCTTTTATAAAATTTAAATTACTTATATTTTAAATAATAGCTTAAATTTTTTTATAATATATATAAGGTAATTTTTCTAGTGCTAGTAATAGGTGTGTATACTTTTTTTTAAATATAAAAAAAATAAAAAAATATTTTTTAAAATTATTTATAATAAAAATTTAAAATTTAACCTAGTATCCTAGTAATTTTATAAGATATAATTAATTATAAAAAAAGCTTTAATTAATTAGTAACTAGTTAAAAACCTATTAGGAACAAGTTTAAAAACTTATAGTATTTTAAATATTTTAATATTAATAACTAATAAATACTATAATTATGGGGTTAAAAAACCTTAAATCTTTTAAATAATTATTTTAAATAATTAATATTTATTTTTTATTTAGGTACTAGGGGTGTAAAGTAATAATTATTTAAAAACTTTTAATTTTAATTATAGCAGGCTATAAAAGCTAAGGTATAATTAATACCTAACTAATAGTTAATTAGTTAATAATTAATTATATATTTAAAAAATTTAAACTTATAAGTTCCCTAATAATAACTTAGGGCCTATAGGTTTTATTAAATATAAAATAAAAAGGTGCTTTTTTATTATTATTAAATAGCTTACTTATACTTTAAAAATAGTTATTAAAGTAAAAGACTAGTTAATTATTAGTTAAGCACTAGTTATAAATATATTACTTATTTAATAATATTTTTTTTATTTTTATTAATTTTATATACCTTAAAAAAAGCCTAATATTACTAAATATTTTTTAGCTATTATTATCAAGCTTAAAATAATAAAGGCTTTTAATATTTAAATAAATTATAGGGCATATTTAAACCCTAAAGTATTAATATTTAATATAAAAATATATTTAATATAGGTAAGGGTTAAAAATATACTTTTTTTAATATTTTTAATAATACCTATATTAAATTTATAACTAGTTAGTAATTAGTTAGGTACTAGTTAAGCTTTAATTATATATATATATATACTTACTACTTTTTTAATTTTTAAAATATTTATAATAGGCTTGTTTATAAAAATAATATATATTATATTACCTAGGTTATTTTTTAAATACTTAGGCAGGTTATAGCATGTTTTAAGTTTTATTATTATAATTACTTAATATAATAAGTTAGTAAAAATATAGTAGTTACCCTTTATTTATAATTATTAATAAATAACTAGTTAAAAACTAGTTACTAATAAGTTAGGATTTACTTACTTAAATTTTAATATTTTTAATTTTAGGATTTATTATACTAATAGCCTATAATAATTAAAATATTATAAAGTAACTAATTAATAACTAGTAATTAAGTAAAATAAAAAATTAGTTAATAACTAGTTAAACTAGCTTAGGTAATTATTTATTTTTTATAAAGTATAATAAAATATTTAATAATATAAAAATAAAAATTAAAAAAAAAAATAAAAATTAAATAACCAAGGCGCTTTATACTAGCCACTTTTGGTTAGCCTTGGATGCCTAACCCGCGTGACCTAGTTAACCCCAACTGTGGTCTCACCACCGGGACCTTTGGAGATTGGGACCGGAACATTTGCGGATTGAGACCGGAACATTTGCGGATTGAGACCGGAACATTTGCGGAGTGAGACCGGAACCTTCGTGGAGTGAGAGGGGCCTATCCCACTGCAGATTTACGTTACTTGCACATGTATGCAACCGTTGCATGAAGAGGGGGTTGAGATGATAGTTTGGGAGAACGGCCATGCCTCGCGAAGGTATTAGTACGGAAGTGGTTCACATTAAAGCGAGATCCACGGCTTCAGATGTGACGGCCCTCCTCACAGCACTGAAGACATGGAGAACGCAACCGAGTATCTCGACTCGATACAGCAAGCGCTGCAGTCGTTGAGCAGCGCGGCGGACAAATGCCAAGCGACATACACCCAGCAACCCGGGGCAGATGTCCACAGCCTCTGCGCCAGGGAGGCAGCGCGCAATGCCTTGGTTCTAGGAGCCCACCGCTTCCTCCAGACTGCACAGGGGCCTGTTGATGCTGCTCGCACTTGCGTGGGACAGGTGAGAGACCATCCAACATTTATCTTCATCGACTGATCGGCGTCCTGCAGACTGCTCATCTCGGCAGCGTGCGAGCACTACTAGAAGCGGGGGTGTTCGACAAGCTCCCCGCAGATGGAACGCCTCAGACACCAGAAGAACTTGCTCAGAAGTTGGGCGTTGACGAGTCTCTCCTCGGTAGGCTCTCCTGACATCAGAATCCAGTCACCGTAGAGTACGCACGTACCAGGGTAGACAGCTAACAGCATTGCAACCAGGGCGGCTGCTGAGAAACGCAGCGGTGTACGGGCCCCTCGAAGCCACCGAAGAAGGCACCTACCGCCACACGCGATTTTCGCTGGCCTACCGCCGCCCAGAAATCGGAGGCATCTTCCGGTTCCAGTGAGTTCAGCATCCTGCCCAGAGCTCGCAGGCCCAGTGCAAGCTAATGCTCGCAGTATGGATGAGCACGTCCCGGCCCTCCTCAAGCTGCACGAGTTCCTGCGAGCCACCGCGTGGCGCACCCCGGCCTCGCAATCCCACAACCCCTACACCCACGCGCACAGTTCAACCGGCAGGACCATGTTCGCCGTCCTCGCCGCCCACCCCCAACGCCTGCAAGCTTTTAACGACGGCATGATGCTCCAGGCCGCAACGGCCTCCTGCATGATCGACCTGTTCCCCTTCCGCGAAGAGCTCTCGGTAGGCACGGACGAGGCATCAGTTGACACGCCGCAGCGCGTCCTGGCCGTCGACATCGGCGGCGGCACAGGCAAGGCCATCGCGCGCATTCGGCAGCTGGCGGGGGCGCTGCCAGGCCGGTATATCCTGCAAGACCAGGCGCACGTAGTCAACGGGCTCGACCAGTCGGCGGCGTATCTTGAGGGTGTCGAAAGCATGGCGCACGACTTCTTCACGCCGCAGCCGGTTGTCGGGGCGCGCGTATACCTGCTCCGACGGTGTCTGCATAACTGGCCAGAGGAAGATGTTGTGAAGATCCTGGGGAACACGGCTGTGGCGATGGGTGCGCATTCGCGGCTCCTGCTTGAGGAGATTATTGTTCCGGAGAGGGGGGTCGGTGTTGAAGAGGGCTGGATGGATCTTATCATGATGTCACTGGGAGCGAAGCAGCGCACCTTACGCGAGTGGAGAGGCGTGCTTGGGAGGGCGGGGATGGAGGTTGTACGTATTTACCAGGAGGACGGCGTTTGTCAGGCGCTTATTGAGGCAAGATTGAGGGTGGCCGAGTGACAGTAGGCTCTTTCATCTCATGCTTGCGAAGTACAGTCATTCTCAATCAATGGTGCAGACACAGTCTTCTTTGACTCGCTCTGTGGGTGTCCGTGTCTCAGTAAGTATGTACTTCCAAAGAGCAAAGGACTTGAAAATGCCTACCAGGCCCGTGTCTCCAGACCCGACCTCGACAGACGTGAGAGCGCGGTAGGATGTGAGCGACCTGCAGGACCTTGAACCACTTGTATGGTCCAATCCGTAACAGGAAAATAGCCGCGACATGAAGCGTGTGCGAGGCCTTAGCGTTCCATACGGTACCGGTAGGTACGCCGGTCGAAGATCCAGCACACGCTGTCGCTCTGGTGCGGTACGAAGGTCCAAGGCTGTGGAGAGTCCATCTTTGAGGGATTGCCAATCCTGGCCATGGTTTCGGGATGTTTCGAAGCTTGGAATGCGTGGGTTCGTCCAACTGATGATGAGATGGGGGAGGAGGGAAGCGGCTGGGGAGCGGCCACAGGAAGAAGGCTTGTGATCACATGACGAGTTTCTACCTAACAAGGCAACTGCCCTCGGCCTCAACTGCAGGTGAAGGCAACAACCTTATTAATTGGAAACACCGATGTAGAGCCTAAGTCGAGTCTAAAGGATCACACAGCAAAGAATACAAACACACAACCACCGTCTCGAGAAAAGTCTATATATACGTCTATTAGGTGCCTCAAAACCCACCCGTCCCCCGAACTCTATGTACAACACCCACAGCCCCCTTCGCCCAGCTAAATCTCCCCGGGTCAAGCCCTATCGACCCTTCAGGCAGCTCCCCAGTCACCGGATCATGCCAGCACCCATCGTCAGGACTAACGAGGCCGTATTTGGCAGTATTCTGGTTCCGATCTATCGCGTCGCGCCAAGTCCGACAGACAAGCGGCGAGTCGAGGAGGAGATTGACTTCCTGGCTGTGGTAGTAGGACTGGGTGTCGAGGTTTCCGTTTCCTGACACGGGGCAGGTGGTGAGTTAGGGCTTGGGGTGGAGAAGGGTTAGGGCTACGGACCTTGGATGGCGACCGCCTCGTCGACGATCATGAGCTTGATGTGGCAGCTTCGTTTCTTGAATTTATTGTGGATGGGTCGGGTCTGGTCTTTTGCGACGTAGTTGAAGACTCGTAGGCGGGATCGTTCTTCGGGGGTGTTGAGGGAGGTGTAGAGGCGGTTGGAGATCATTTCGTTCGTTCCATTTTGGAAAGGAAGGAGTTGGCCTGCGTCGTTGTAGCCTAAACAGAGATAGCAAGTGACAGTTACTCCGCGGCGAACGGCGTCGACCAAAGGCTCTAGTAATGGTTCTGCGTTCATGTTGGGCGTTTGGATGAAGATGGAGTGTTCGGCGTGGTTGATCGCGGCCAGCCATGCTGCGTTTTGTGGCACAACCGTACTGGTATGATCGGGGGCTATCACAGTTAGTCCATCAGCAATGCTACTTGTGAGGGTTACTTACACCCGTACGGCTCCCTGTTTACCAAGGCCATTGGGATTGGTTCGTGCTGTGGTGTGAGAATGTAGGGCCCCATCCGGTCTTCTTGGTCTTCGTCGGGCGCATCGCCCGTTGTCGACTTCTGACGCGTATGATCTGTTCTAGATTAGCTAGAAAGATATCACAATTCCATACGGACATACTAAGTAAGCGAGTGACCGGCTTTGCCCATGACTCCCCCTCCACGGGCATGAGCAACCCATTCTCTCTTTTCGTTTCGGCCATGATGTCCTTATCATAATGCTCATCCTCAGTCGTCAGCTGTGGTAGGAAAGCATCCGCTTCATACTCGCCATTGGCATGCACCTGGGCACCAGACAGAGGGGCCCCCGCTGCAGGAGAGTTCAGCATTGGTAACGGCGGCTCCAGCGCCTTCCCCCATGAGATCAGTGCCGTATCGTATAACGAATCCACAATGGCACCCTCAACACGGATCATCATCTCCATGTTGTCATTATCCTGGATGTTATTGCTCTGCAACAACCCAATGCGCCTGTCTACAATCATAAACTTGGCATGGAATGTCCCGAAGATCGGGCGATGATAGTTGATCACCTGCATATCGAGATGCGGAGCCTCGTCTGGAGCAGGGAGGTTGACCTTCCCAGTCGCGTACTTTTTCTCGTCCACATTAAGACGGTTCTCCCAGACCTAGTAATATATCAGCCACCGTACCAAGCATAGGCTGGTATCCATAAGCGCACCTGCTTAGGATCACCACGGTCATAGAGGGTCTTCACAACGACCTTCTCCCCGCGCTCTCCCGCGCGCCTCGACAACTCCTTCAAGGCATTCGTAATCAGGGTCGACGCATCCGAGAAGATCCAGTAGTTCGTCGCAAGGAATACCTCCTTCTCCGCGCGCACAATGCAATTCGCCATGTGCCGGCAAATATCCGGCAAGGGCGCGACAATCGTCAGTGGCACGACGCCATTGCTCCCCATTAGCGGCGGAGAAACCACACCTCCAAGGGGATTCCTGCTCAGCGTAGCGAGCGCGTCGTGGTAGATCTACGCCCGTTAGCCAAAAGAGCCATTATATCCGACCATCGACGAATGATAGGAGACGGTAATACCCTCAGAAACAACCGACTCGGTTCGGCACCTCCCCAATTCCCGCACTCTTTGGCCTTGCGCAATTCATCGCTTTCCGCGTCTTTCGAATCACCATTTAGCTCGGGGCTCTTGTCGACATCCTTAATATCGAACAGATCCTTGAAGACCTTGTATGGAGCCTTTGTTGAGTCACCCGCGACTTCCGAGCTGACGGTGTGGTCGCCATGGCACAGGTTGTACACAGTCCGGGAGACCATCCTTGGGGGTTTCTGTTTGCGGTGATTACGGATCTTGCGCGAGCGCTTAAGTAATATTAGAGAGAAGAATAACAGTATATAAATAGCGACATGGTGCAGGTTCAATGGCATATTTGGGGAGGTTGAGGTTGATGGGGAAGGAGACCCGTACCTGGACGTTCCCTCTTCGGCACCACATGACGATGACATCACCGGGCTAGGCACCAGTATATCCATGTCCTTAGCCCCGTTCTTATAGTGGGGGCTTCAGCTGTTAATCTATCGAGGATGGGATCTGGATGAAGTTTTGACTGTGAAGCCATTCGAATGAACACTTGGGGCAGGGTAACCCATGGTTCTGCAGGGTCGGGCTACTACGACCGATACTCCGGTGGTGCAACCTCTGGTACAAGTGCTGCAGAGTGTATCAAGCCTCTGAGCTTATTCAGGCTATCCAGGCTGACGTATCCGATCCTCGGTCCGTCCACGGTTCAGCCCTGCCCCATGTGGCTCCTATGGAGGAACACTCGCCTTGGCCGAACAAGCTTCGATGTCATTGTCCTTCGACCCACCGGCGCCTCCATCCAGCATTCGAGACGCTTCAGCCTTGCCGAAGTCGCGCAGTCTGACGCCATTGCTGAACAGTAGTCGACCTGTTCCAGCGTCTGGCCTTTGCAGGAATGCAACGGCGCCGAAGATGAACCCCACTCTGCTTTCAAGTCCTGCTCCGTCCTCGAAGACGAGGTATGGGCCGGAGAAGTTGACGGCGAAACTGTAAAGCCATGAGGGTCAGTGGGGTAAACCCCGTATTGGTAGCAGTAGCGTACGTACTTGAAACAGACGTTGATGGCGAAACCAAGGCGAGAGGTAATCGCGCAGTCGCAGAGAGCTGTCTTCTGGCGTCACGACGTAGGTCAACGGACCTCAGCCACTAGCAAAACCAACGCCAAAGACAACCATCAATGAGATCACTCCCTTCGTCCCTTGTGTGGTGACTGGCTCGTCGACGCCTAGCCCCCCATGGCGATGCGGCCAGAAAGCATGATGACGGACGAGAGCATACGTAGCTTTCTAGACATAGTTAGTCAACAAAGTATTGCGGCAATTGGAAACGATCTACACGTACCTTCTTCCAACCCTGTCTGCTATAGATAGCATAAATACCATGACACCGGACGAGGTGCAGCTGCTCATCAAGGTGAATAGCATGGGATTGAAAATCTTCAACGACCGAACGTGAACCCCACCATCCCAATCTCTGCTTGGAACACAGGAACGACGGAGAGTTCCATGCCCACGTATACCTAGTTTAGAATCCGAGCTGCCATGATCTGGTCGTTGCTGTTCGAGGTAACGGTGATCGTCGCGGTGATAAGGGCATACCTAGGTAGACCCGCCGAGCGACAAGCCGTGGGTACTGTTCATGCCGCTCCCCGGGCCTCTTTCCTCATTGCCCTTTTCAGGTTGAAGAGCCCTGCTTCTCCATGTACGACCGCGCGCAGATGACCGATGTCGTTTCGAAGCCGGAGAAGAAGACTGGGTATGAACCTCGTTATAAGAACGTCATTAGGGACAGGTATGGAACAGATGGGCGACTGAGGATGTTTGGAAGGAAATCAAGGCCACATATCACGGGATGATCACTTGATGACCAGTTCGGCCGTGTCTTAAAAGTAGACCTGGGGCTATGGAAGGACACTGTGACCATGGCAAATACCTAGGAGATCACGGCCTCATCGAAAAGTGGCCATCCGGACTGTCAGAGACACTCGTTCATGAGGGTCTGATCGTGGAGCCGTTGCTTGAGCAAGCGCCATATCCGTACGACATCAAGGCAGGTCTTCAGCACGAGGACACTACCCTGGTCGGCAAATCCATCTCTCTCAGGGTATACACATTTACCGCCTATATGAGCCTGAGTGCCACGAGATCGTGAATCATCATGAGAAGGAAGTTCTTCGTTGGCTGGGGAAGGGCAGCGACTTCTTGCCATGGCAGAAGGATGATCGATTTCCGCAGGTGAACCTGAAGAGTCCGAAAGAGCAAATGGAGGAGCGTCTCGGCAAGGCTGGCTAGAGTGTTGAAGATAGGGTCAAATACTCCGTAGCCATTGGATCTTTTTTGAATTGTTGATATGTGAAATTGTGAATTGGCTTGGTGTCCACCCCAACCGTAGCTACGGAGTACGGTCCGCTGGATACCGTAGAATATAACGTTGATAACAGTATCACTGCCAAGTGTCGGGATCCACCAATTCTTCGCACTTCAACCATTTCTCTATATCCAACATTGGCGAGATTGCGATCTAGACCAAATACTGCCATCCGATCTCATGGCTTCGTACAACGCGTGAAACTAGGTAGCGCGTTCGAGGTATTCCGACAGCCAGGACGATCCCATTGGATTTTGGAGGAGGATAACACCGCGAGGTAAAGAGCTGTTTGCTGAGGTAAAGAGGAATTCTAGTCAAACGCGAAGTCGGCGCGCCCGCGTCTTCCGGGCCGCGGCCGAGGGGTCCGAACGGAACCAGTACGTACCGTACCGTACCGATACCGATACCTACGGTACCTACGGTACCTACCCACCTGCAACGACGTAGGTACCCGCCACCAGTCTCCTTTAACCCCTGGAGAGAGCACCGATGGATTCGTCTCCTGCTGTTGTCCGCCATCAAGCGCCCGGATCCCAAGATACTAGTCATTCACCCATTCACACATCGCCAGCATGCCACCGGTGTCGCTCTCGGAAGATCAAATGCGACCGTGGCTGGCCTGTCTGCGGCCGCTGTGCGCTCCTACAGTTCGATTGCTCCTATGATAAAAGACCAGCCAGTCCTGTTTCCAGACCCAGAAACTCATTAACGTATACTGAGGCTGGAACCAAAAGAAAAAGAGCACCGAAGGCATGCGAGTCATGTCGGGCTTTGAGAGTGAAATGTTCTTTGACGGGTCCCTGCGAAAGATGCGTTTCCAAGGGCTTACTCTGTGACCTTCCGACAGGCCACAACGCAACGACGGGCAGAAGCAACGCATCAACAGGTGGAGGCAATGCTTCGACAGGCGGAGGCAATGCTTCGATAGGCGGAGGCAATGCTTCGATAGGCGGAGGCAATGCTTCGATTGGCGGCAATGAATTGACACGCGGAGACAATGCATTGACAGGCGGCAATGCTTCGACAGGCGGAGGCAATGCATCAACAGGCGGCGGCAACGCAGCAATGAGTACTCTCATCCCAAGCGCCGTGGGTGCTGCTTCTAGCATCGCAACATGGCCATTGGGCAAAGCAACAGCAAGGCGCTACCTTGATGCCTACTTCGAATCAGCAAACAAAACACTTTCTGCCTTCCTTCACAAGCCCAGCATTCTGGCTGAGTGGAGCAGCGACGCCCTCGATCCGCATCTACTGAAATGCATCGTGGCGTTTGGTTTGTTTATGAGTGACGGCCATCGCGCAACGGCTCGGGCTTGGATGCAGGATGTGCAGAATTACGCCTTCGGGAGGATAGGCAGACAGTCGGTGTCGCATTTGAGAATCCTAGTGATCTTGCTGCGATTTCGCTTCCATGCGGGTGACTTCTCAGATGCTTGGAGCATTTTGGCTATCGCTGCTCGCTCGGCTTTCACTATGCGACTCAACTATGAGCAAAATGGATTGGATCCGCTTCTCCAGGAGTCCAATCGGCGGTTGGTCTGGGCAATCTACCAACTCGATTGTCTGTATTCTGGCGGGATGGAAGACCTGACTGTCTGTCCTGTGGAGAGAATGCATATCCGCTTACCGTGCGACGAGCGGGGTTTTGAGATGGGGTCTCTATCAAAGGCTGGGTATCTCAATGATGTTGGCTTTGAACCTGGCGCGAACATGGACGCCCATGCATTTAAGCTCAGGCTTCTCGCCATTAGGGATAGAATTTTAAGGTAAGGACCCAGTAGAGGCGTTGAAATGAGTCCCTCGCTGATCAAGAACAGATATACCAAAGACGTCCGACGAAAGGGCAATAGCCCAGTTGAGAGCCGTGCCGCAATGGAGGCTCTTCAGGTCGAGCTCAACACGTTTGAGCGAAACCTCCCAGTGGAACTCAAGCTCACTCCGCAGAGACTCGTTGTCATGGGCCACTCTCGGCAGGCTGGAACCTACGCCGGGCTCCACGCGCTTTGGATGATGTGTCACTGTGATCTCTATCGCTTCTGTGTTCCCGGAATCCGGGAGTCGGTTTCGAAAGATGCCTTGGCTCAGACGCCTTCGAACTTTATAGGGTACTGTCAACAAGCTTGCTTGAATACGGCGGTTCGGCTATGCAGCCTGTGGTCTGACTTGTATCATCTTGGGTCCAGCGAGTATTTTGGCGACGAGTTCCTGGCGGTGTCAATCTATCAAGTAGCACAGATCCTGCATCACCTCCCTCACCTCATGCCGGGTCACGGGGAAAACAGCGTCGCGTCCTTGAAGGAGAAGCTCACCGAAGCATTGCAGCTTGCTGCACCGCTGAAACGGGTATACGCCAGTGTGGGGAAATGCCTTGTGGACAGTGAACAGCTGGTCAGCGCACTCGGGCAAGGACCTGTTGCCAGGGCTTCTCCGGATGTCACTGCCACAGCGGGCATGTATACTGCGCGAGAACATCTCGCTTCAAAACACTCGGTGTTGCCGCATTTGTACATGGATCAGGATCCCGTCGAAGATGGTGCAAGTTCTCAAGCGGCTTCTCAGCGGCATGGAAGGGGAGAGGCGACTCATTCCGGCTTGAGTCTGGGTACCTTGAATCAGGAGCAGGAGACTGAGTCTGGGCTTTCTGAGATGTTCCTCTTTGACCCGTTCAACATGCGGCTGAACGGGTATTATGATCCTAACCTTGCTTTACCGTTGATTTAATGTGGTCAAAACTTGATTGTAGCGAGGTGTAGCTTTGGACAGGGTCCCCTAGCGAGAACAGCATGTGTTCCCTTCTCCTCACATCTATTTCTCTACCAGTTACCTTGAAAGGGAGCCACTACCAAACGTGTTCTCCAAACTTCCAATTTGACATTTCAGGTCCTAATATCAGCCCATCCAATGGCACTGAACAACAGGACCTCTAGCCATCCTATGCCTTCTTCGCACTAGCCTTCCTATACGCCTCCCCATACGCATCATACCACTTTTCCACAAAGCCCGCACTCGGTCCAGCCCCAATCATCTCCTCCCCACCCTCCAACCGCGGCGCCACCTCATCCATAAACTCTTCGATGCTCATCGAGCCCGGATTATTCTCCTTATTATCATCCGGATTCTCTCTCTCCCGCTGCAAATCCGTCTCGACACTCGGCGGCGCAATCTCAACCACCTTACCGGTAATCCGGCCCTTCATCCCCGCCCATTCAATCTGCGTCCGCAGCGTCACCGTCCAAAAATGCAACCATGCCTTCGTCCCTTTGTAAACCGGATTGATAACCGAAAACGGGATGAAGCCAAGCACGGAAGACCCGTTGATGATCGCCGCCGAGGGCTTGCTCTTGAAGTGCGTCAGCAGCCCGAGCGCCAGGTGCATCGGACCCCGGATATTAATGTCGATTTCCTGGTGTGCTTTTGGGAGATACTCGTCCGCGGGTGTCTTGAAGACCTCTAGCGGCCGCTGCACGCCTGCGTTGTTCACGACTCACGAGGCAATCTAGCTGCGGATGCTCTGTTGTCAGCCGTGCTATGAACTCGGGGATACTCGCTGTTTTCCCCGTGTCCAGCATGTAGTAGGCTGCTGCTCTGATCTTGCGCGCTGCCGATTGCAGATTTAGCTCTGTCCGGCCGGCGATTATCACCTTGATGCCTTTGGCGATGAGGTATGCTGAGCATGCTTTGCCGATTCCGCCGCCGCCGGTGACTAGGGCGCAGGTGATGGGGAGACTGGAGGTTGGCATTCTGATATACCTACTTGGATGATGTAGGTGCTTCAATGAATAGGCATGGACTCCGTCAGTAGTTCATGTACATCAGGGTCTCTTATTCTGGCAAGGAAATACTCAGCTGGTACACGTCACTAGGTTGGTCATCATGTGGACGACGTGGTGCAACAAGCCGGATTGAATTACCTTGATCTTGATGCATATCTATACGAACGTAGTCTCCTTAATAATGATTGGTGAGCTTCGTGTTGTATTCTGTATCACTGTGTTCGAGAAAGAATCATGTTCGCTGGTGCAGTATAGGCCGTGGTTAGTGGGCAGGCTACGAGAATATATATCTGCTCCTCCAACAATTAGAAACAAACGAATCCGCAAGAAACTGCTACGGCTATACTTGTAGTCTAATCCTTCTACTCCTACTCCATTACTATACCACCTTGCCTCAGAAGTGACGAATATACTCTCAACTTATGCATCCGTTGTACTTGCACAGCTGACACGCACAACTCGCAAACTCCGCTATCTCCGCATCATTCCCCGCACCTCCAGCTCCTACAAATGCCACTCAGCAAGGCCACCGCAATCCCACAGCCAACAATCTAACCTCGACCCTCATCGCAAGTGCAAAATCTACAATGGCCGCCGTCCTCCAACCACAAAAGACCGCCCTCATCACCGGCGCAGCATCCGGCATTGGGTTCGCCGTCGCCAAGCTCTGCCGCAGCCGAGGCATGCACCTGGCCCTCCTGGACATCGACGCCGCCAACCTCCCAAAGGCCAAAGACGCCCTGGCCTCAGCATCAGCAGACAGCTCTCTCAAAACAGAAGCATACACCATTGACGTAGGCGACAAGGCGCAATGGAGCCGTGTCGCGGCGCAAGTCACGTCGACTTTCGACACGCTCGACCTGGTCCTGCTTAATGCGGCGAGGGGCACGAAGCCCACGGGCCCCGGGTCGGACTCGGATCCCTGGGTTGGGAACGAGGAGTATTGGAGACAGGTTCGCCAGGCTTGTTCTTTTGTTTGCTTCGCTGCTTGCTAACGATGGATGTCCGCAGGTCTTCGACACGAACGTCTTCGGCCCCGTGCACGGCATCAGCGCGCTCCTCCCGCTCCTGAAGAAAGACCGCGCGCCGAAAGCGATTGTCATTACGGGATCGAAGCAGGGCATCACGAACCCGCCCGGCGGGCGGAACCCAGCGTACAACGCGACGAAGGGGGCGGTCAAGATACTGGCGGAGCATCTGGCTCACGATCTGCGGTCTGAGGCTTCGACGGCGCACATCTCGGCGCACTTGCTTGTGCCTGGGTGGACGTGGACTGGGTTGATGGGGAATGTCGGACCGACGGATGAGGAGGACGTCGAGAGGATGAGGGGTTCGTGGGCGCCGAGTCAGGTGGCTGGGGAGCTGGAGAGGGGGTTGCAGAGGGGCTCGTTCTACATTGTTTGTCCGGATGATGATGTCGATGTGGCGCTGGATCAGGCGAGGATGAAGTGGGCTTGTGAGGATATTCTGGAGGATAGGCCGGCGCTGTCGAGGTGGGAAGAGGGTTGGAAGGGGGAGGCTGAGCGGGCGATCCGGGCGGATGCTGAGAAGCGAAGGGGGTGAACTGTGTGGTATGATTCTGTTCGGGTTCACGAGCTGGAGGTACTCAGACCTAGAATAGGGTCTTGGGGTATATTGATTAGATTACCCCAGCTGCTAGCTGCTGCTAAAGTTACATCCAGTTGGAGTAGACAGCACGGACTAGTTCCACCCAGACGTCAGTCCTCATCTTTGACAGGTGGACGGAATCTGAGGCCAGAATGCATGCGGCTTAGCCAACTATCCCACTACTCAAGGCACCTGTATTTCTATCAGGTTCCTGCGTTCTCTGCCGACATTAAGCGTGAGGCTTTACCAGAACCGTTGCAGGCGCCGTCTTGGGTCGCCTCGAGGACAACGGATAACGATGGCAAGCTTGGCTACCTAATGCAAAGTCGATAACGTGCACGTTGCCATTGGCCAAAGCGCTATCAGCTCATCAACACCCAAAATCACGCCTAGACCAGCTTAGGTAGGTACCAGGCCAGTCCCCGCCGGGGGAGGGCGTTGCCAAGCAGAGGGGATCAGACGATCTGCAGCGCCGGCCTCGCTCCCCTCCAATCCTCCAATCCTTCCATCCTTCCCTTCCCCATTCTTCACCAGCTTTCCCTCGGCCTCACCAGACCAACCCCTACCAGCATCGAGATCATCGAGATCGGCTATCACTCGGGATTGCCTATCGCTCGAGATCTGGCCCCGGCTCAAACACCAGATCCCAGCTAGTTCGAATGTACGATATGTCACAACACAGCCACCCTCGGTCGCCGACCAAATGAGACCGAGACAATTCATATAAGTTCATCTAATTTCCGCTGCCTTGCAGAGTGTTGCAACATCGATGCCAAGCTTTAAGCCTCGCCGGAGTTCCCCGTGGTGGATACGAGGTTGCACTTGAAGAGATCGATTAATATCACTTGGCTTCGAAGCCCAGGATGCCCAGCACATCCTCGTCAGGCTCGAATTCCGTGTGATTGGCCTTGCCCCTCATCTGTTTATATTGTTATCAGCGGCTGGCTCCTGCTCGTGCAAAGGACGGGCGCTATCACGACCCCTGCGCACACGACCACTCACCAGTCACCATTCCCTCCGCGTCGCTTTCTTGACAGGGGACCCGAGTCGACAAAAGTCCGACTTGGAGATAAGACTCGGCATGGGACCAGAAAGAGGATGCTATGGCCAACTCTCCCACCCTTGGCTCCAGGGGCATCAGAAGACGATCCTGAACACATGCGATTCTCGTGTCGCACTAGAATCGTTGTGCAGTCACAAAAAAGGCTTATGTCTTATCACACGCAGGCAAACTATGTACTGTCCAAGGTCCGTCCACATCGCGAGAGGATGCGTTGGGTCCGATCTCGACGCTATCAAAATGATCGGCGCTCTGTTTCCTGGGGCTGCAACTCTGCAGTTGGAAAAAGCTCCGGTGGCTCCGGCGCGTTCTAGAAAAATCCCGGCAACCCGTCGTCGCTTAGGGCCCAAGACCACCCCTGACGGAAGAATAATAGGCGGGCAACGGCGCATCTCGCATGAGAGCGCCAAGCATCTAAAGAGTCACACTGGAGCTTGAGAGCGAATCATGAAGTTATTCCGCCTTTTCAAGGCTTTTTCGCACAACACTAGCTCCGGCTGTAGATGGCCCGGCGTACTACCTTCCTGTTGAGGGTGTAGGGCAGAGAAACCTTGCGGGACCAGGGGTGGACCGCCATAGGCGCATGTGAGGGGAAACATTGGCAACGGTTTGCGCAGCTGTGTCGTGATAACGACCCGGCGGCTTGTCCTCGCCTGATGACCCATCTAGCTCTCTTAGCAGCTCGAGGGCAGATGGATCCTGTGGTGATCGTCGCAATTCCTGGCGTGCTTTGCGCTGGCACTCACCACGCTGATAACGATGGCTCCGATGGAGCACAATAGTCTTGTCGTCTGGAGATGCAATGTCACCCTGTGAGTTTTGGCGACTCGACCCTAGTCAATTCGTGATCAATTCGTGATGGACCAGAGCAATGGCGCCGAATTGGAGTTGGAGTGCGCTCGCGACAGGTATAAGAGGAGCGTTGTTGCCCATCCCATCGCTCTTTCCTTCCCAGTACCGCAACACCTCTCCATTCCCTGAACGATCACACCCGATCCCGTTCCAACCTCAGGACTTCCGTCATGCATTCGTTCAAGCGCTCGATCCTCCTTCTCGGAGCCCTCCTCCCTGCCGTGTTCGGTGCTCCCCTCGAGCCCCGTCGCGCAACTGAAACCGTCCCCGGCAAGTACATTGTCACCTTCAAATCCGGCATCCAGACCGAGCAAATCGACGCCCATACCACTTGGGCCTCCAACGTCCACAAGCGCAACCTGGAGCGTCGCGGCCTTGCTGAGCGCGACCAGTACTCCGGAATTGAGAAGAACTACAAGATCAACAAGTTCGCTGGCTACTCCGGCTCTTTCGACGATGCCACCATCGAGGAGATCCGGAACAGCGCAGAGGTGAGTGCTTCACCTCCGATTACGGTCAAAGTACGCAAATGTTGACATTTGACAATCACGCAGGTCGCCAACGTTGAGGAGGACCAAATCTGGTACCTTGACGCCCTGACCTCCCAGTCCGGCGCTCCTTGGGGTCTTGGTGCTATCTCGCACAAGGGCCAGTCGAGCACCACCTACATCTACGACACTAGCGCCGGAGAGGGCACTTACGCCTACGTGGTGGACACCGGTATCAATGTCGACCACAACGAATTCGAGGGCCGCGCCAGCCTCGCCTACAACGCTGTTGGTGGTCAGCATGTTGACAGCGTCGGCCACGGTACCCACGTTGCTGGTACTATCGGCGGTGCTACCTACGGTGTTTCCAAGAACGCCAACCTTCTCTCCGTCAAGGTTTTCCAGGGCGAATCTAGCAGCACTTCCATCATTCTCGACGGCTTCAACTGGGCTGCCAACGACATCGTGAGCAAGGGCCGCACCGGCAAGAGCGCTATCAACATGAGCTTGGGTAAGCATCAGCTGTTACCAGCGTGCGATGGTAATCATTACTGACGAGAATTCCCAGGTGGTGGTTACTCCTACGCCTTCAACCAGGCCGTCGAGGATGCGTACGATGAGGGCGTTCTCTCCGTTGTGGCTGCTGGAAACGACAACGTGAGTTTGCTCAAACATTATTATACGGAAATATCTAACGGACTCCATTCCAGGTTGATGCATCCTCCACCAGCCCTGCCTCTGCACCCAACGCCCTCACCGTTGCTGCTAGCACTGTCGGTAACGCCCGCGCGTCCTTCTCCAACTACGGCACCGTCGTCGATGTCTTTGCCCCTGGTCAGGATATCCTCTCCGCCTGGATTGGCTCCACCTCCGCTACCAACACCATCTCGGGTACCTCCATGGCCACTCCCCACATCGTCGGCCTGTCCCTCTACCTGGCCGCTCTTGAAAATCTCTCTTCTCCCGCCGCTATCATCTCCCGCATCAAGGAGTTGGCTACCCGCAACGCTCTCTCCAACGTTCGCGGCAGCCCTAACCTTCTTGCTTACAACGGCAACGCCTAAGAGCCTAAGGAACCTAAACATGACCATGTTCAAGACTTGAACAGCAGAAGAACGACAGGGGATGGCGGTGGTGGCTAGAAGGATGATTCATGTGACCTTGTTACGAATGCACATATTTTTATCGTCTCTATATAGGTCCCATCTCGTAGGTCAGTTCGCGGCCCAGTGCGGAACCTTGGAATAGAACTCGTACCACTACCTCGATTCCCACCCCTCGACTCTTCTCCAGCAAGGTTATCTCAGGAAAATCTGGAGAAAATGACGTCGGCTTGTCTGGTGCCCACGAAGAATGCTGCAGCTGGCCCGTGACAACAAGCAACTCCGCTTCCTTGAAAGTTCTCTATCCCTTCCCCCAACTCCCCGCTCTGGTCACTGCGTCTTCAGCGCTCCCGCGATCGAACTCTCTACGTCTCATTCGGAGAATTCTAGCGTCGTCTCGGTCCGCCAGATGAGTGATTCAAAGTTAGACGTCTAGCCGTCGGGGCCGTATGCCTGTTACCCCCTCATATATCAGGGAAGATTCTTCCATATGCTCCCCATCCAGTGAACGGCCTTGCTGCACGGACCGCAGCGAAAGCATACGTCCGTCCCACTCCGTGCTGTGGGCCAGGTCTGCGAATGTCCCGCTGGTGTTTCATCAATTGGAATGCAGGAACCCAAAAGGGCCCATCCAGAATTCTCACCGGAGGCCAATACAGTTGGGGGACGGGTCGGACTTTACACAAAGGCTTCGGGTGTGACATACAAGCAGCAGGTGCATCACATCGCATCCCTTGCTTGCATTCATTCATTCGATTATCTTGTTCTCGCTCTCCTCGCTCGCCCCTTGTCTTGCGGAGCGGATGCTAACTTTGCTAGAGTACATTTAGGCACTATCAAGAACCAAGACGGACGCAATGGATACCCTATACACTTTTTCTTTTCCCGGGCTCTCGACTGCCCTCCACGTTCACAGCCGCCTGTCCTATCCCTATAAAGTGACGCGAACCGCACTCTCCGACTATTAGCAGGATCTGCGGCTGCGATAGATAGCTACGTGCAATGTCTCAGTTAGAGTCCGACAAGGATGTCCTACAACACTCTCTGGCCCAGTACGGGCTCAGAGTCGCCGCTGATGGGTATCACATCCAATGGGCTGTTGGGAATCCGAGACACCCTCGCAACTGGCTCATTTCGAGGAAGATCCACGATATCTCGCTCCTCATCTTTCTCGAGTTCTTCACGTATGTTCTTGTCGTGTCTTTGTTTGTGCTGTCGTGATTCGATGATCTGCAGATAAGCTAATCTTCCGCCATGCGTGTAGCACGTCTGTCAGCACGGCTGGTGTAGGTCCCTTGCTTCCCCTGCCAATCCCCCACACTCGACGGCTATGCTGACCAACATCTGGGCAGTCGACGGCTGCAAATGTTGCATCAAAGGAATTTGGGATTTCGGACGAGTTGTCGATCTTTATTTTCGTGACAGTGTTCGTTCAACTAAATATGCCCCTGGCTTTTGCGGGCGAAGCATGCTAACTCGGCTTTGCAGGTATTTGCTCGGGCAAGCCCTCGGGGGTATCATCCTCCCGCCCTACTCGGAATGCTTTGGCCGGAAGAAGCTGTATATCATCAGCTCTGGGACGTACAGCATCTGTTGTGTTATCATCGCCGCTATCCCGTCTGTCAAAGGTGTTGTTTTTGGCCGAGCCCTTAGCGGGTTCCTCTCCGCTATTCCCAGCACCATTGTCGTGGGTAGTGTCGAGGACATGTTCAACTCGCGAGACCGTGTTTGGATGATATGGATCTGGGCTCTGGTGGCTAATCTCGGTCTGGTCGTTGGGCCGATCATGGGCACCTTTGTCACTGCGGATTTGCATTGGTACGTGCATAGCTCGTTAGACTTCTCGCTCGTCTCTATACCTTAGTTTGGTTGGCTAATCTAGGTCCCCAGGACGTGGCTCTTCTACGTTGCAGCCATTGTGACTGGAATCCTGACTCTCCTGTTGCTGGGGATCCGTGAATCCCGTCCCGCCCTCTTGCTCGAGCGAGAAGTGGCTAATCTTCGAGAGATGACGAAGATTGACTACCTTGTCAGTCTGAACCCAGATAGTGCGCCGGATCTGCGAACATTCGTGCGCGTTGCACTAGGCCGACCAATCCGACTGTTCTTCACGGAGCTTATTGTCTTCGCTGTTTCGGTTATGAGTGCCGTGGCCACTGCCCTCGTCTACCTCTTCACGCAATGCCTACCACCGATCTATGTGAGCCTCGGCTTTTCAGAAAAACAGGCATGCCTTCCGTTCATCGCCATCGGCGCCGGGCTGAGTCTCGGCCTCCTAACGAGATACCTGGACATGCACCTCATCGAGCGGCGTCGCAGACATGGCACAATCCTCCTCCCAGAACACAAACTCGCCGGATTCTGGATAGGGTCGGGTGTCCTCGCCGGCGCACTGTGGGCCTTCGCCTGGACAATACCTCCCGCCGTCCAGCATCTGCACTGGGTAATCTCCGTGCTCGCCTTGGTCCTGATCGGATACGCCCTGAACGAAATCGACTATGTGCTGGGCGGATATCTCGCCGACAGCTACCTCAGTTATGCTGCGAGTGGGCTCGCTGCGCTCAGTCTTATCCGCGCTCTGCTGTCGGGTATCCTGCCGCTCGTGTCGAGTCCCATGTTCACGAATCTCGGGGCCAATGTCGCTGTCTCGTTGCTGGCTGCTGTCGCCACGCTCTTCTGCCTCGTTCCCCCGTTATTCTCGCGGTTTGGTGAGACGATTCGCGCGCGCAGCAAGTTCGCCAAGTATAGCTTGGACATGTACCAAGAGCATAGTGTTGACGAGGACGGGTACTAGATTTCGATGGTTAATCTGTTGAGTGGAGGCGGAGGTGTGGATGGGAACTCTGTTTGCTGTGCATTGCTACTTTTTTGGCGAGAAAAGAAGTCTTTGCGTTCGTCTGGGTATTGCTTTGGAGTTTGGTTGATTGTATGAGTCTTGTGCTGGGTTGGGACTCGGCTGGCGGCCTGTCAACGTGATTGATTACCTTTGCCTTTCTTTGTTCTTCTTACTTTTGATACATGACTTGCAAGACATAGACAATTGGAAGACAATATCACTATGTGGTCAATTGTTTCCGTGTAGAGTTGTAGAAAAACCGGACATTTGTGCAGTGCATTGTTTGTGTGCAGTATTTAGGCCAAGGGAGCTGCTTAATAAGCCGCCCAGAGCAGTGTTAAGCTCCCGCCGCTTCAACCCCCGCGTTTCCCTTTCCCTAAAAGCAGCGTCCAAGGTCCCTGAGCTAGCAGCTTACCCTCCAAACTATACATCGGCGTCTTAACCGAATTCAAAAGCATCCAGGAAAGCCTCCACCTGTTAGGTTCTGCAATGGACGATCTGGGACTGCGCGACCCGGACCCCCTTCGTCCTCTCCAGCCGCTACTCTCATCCGTTGCGGAAAACGCGTCGAATTTGGCTGCGAGCGGGAAGCACCACGAAAGCGACCAACACCAGCTGGACGTTGACGTCGACGTTGAAGCTCGCTCGCTACAACGCTTGCAATCTGCCGTCGCGGAATTCGATCAGTATGACCTCCACCAGCATCAGCATCAGCATCAAGGTCAAGGTCAACTTGGAGAAAGAGAGCTCCGGCCGGAGGATGCGTACGGGACACTGATGGTGAGTAGCGCACCTGCAGTTTTGTTACAATAATGCGACTACCTATCTGCTGTTGTCGCGAACGTACGAGCTTGCAAAATCAAAATGCTAACAATGCGCATTTCAGCCGCAGGACCAAACGTCCCTGCGCACCGCGCAACCGCAACCGCAACCGCAACCGCAAACAAGTAGCTCGAACGAATCCATCTTCGCCTCCAAAGAAAACGGATACCTTCGCGATGTCGCATCGATAGCAGACCCGCCGGATCTAGAAGCATGGAGGGAGCGTCTATTCAACGTCGACGAGATGATCGTCATGAGCGAAGAAGAGTACGACCCTGTCTCTCGTGTTTGCGCCGCTATCTACAGGCAATTAACAGATCTGACCACTAGATTCCGAACCTACTTCCCACACGTCGACAACATCTACTCGCACCGCTCGACACAGCACTACAAGCGCAAGCCCCTGGTCTCGCACTACTGGGACTGCCGACTGAAGGGCCGGCCGCCCGGGACCCCGAAGTCCGACGACCCGAACAAGAAGAAGCGCAAGCGGACCGCGCGGCAGCGGGACCTCTGCGACGTCAAGGTCAAGATCACGGAGTACTTCCCCGGGTATGCGGCGGGGTTTGGTGCTGGCGCCGTGTCTCTTGAAGCTGGAGGGCTGGGCTCGGAGCAGCAGCAGCAGCAGTTGCAGCAGGGGTTTTCGCTCTCGTATTCGGCTGCTGACGTTGATCCGGCGCTTTCGGTTTCGGGGGAGGTGCTGCCGAGTGTTAATGCGCTGCTCCAGTTTCCTGCTGCTGCTGCTGGTAGTGGTGGTGGGTTTGTTCCTGGGGCTGAAATGAGGGAGAGTCAGGGCCAGATCCAGCCGTTTGGGGTGCTCACGCCGAATCCGCCGCTGCCGGAGGGACATCCTGGCGCTGATGGTGGCCGATTCTTCACGATCCAGCGCGTGAATGGGAACGGGGCGAACGGGAAGAATGATGGGGTTGGCGGGGGGCACCGGCATACGCTGGAGGAGAGCGATCGGGTGAAGAAGAATAGTGTGCAGCGGCACCTGCTGAAGGAGGCGAGGGAACGGAAGAAGTCGTTGTCAGCTGTAAGTCTTCCACTTGCCCTACCCTTGTCCACCCTCTGTCTCTTGTCTACTGTGTATTTGGGGAGATGTTGCGCCGGGTTACGTCACGTCACGCGGTGGCAGGAACACATCCAACCGTCCTCTTTCCCCGCTTTCTCTTCAACTTGCAACTGACAACACATTAACTGGCATTGAATCTATCTCATCATATAATCTAATAGACCGTACAAGACCAGGACAATGTCCGCCCCAAAAAGCTACCACACCCAGGCCACCGGTCCAGCGGCTGAGACGGCAGAAAGGCACGCCGAGGATTCGGACTTGAAGCTGTACGGGAGTTGCTTCTGGTGAGTCCAATCTCGATTACAATATAGAAGAGCGAGCTAATTCGTCCAGCCCATTTGTGCAGCGGGTCTGGATAGCCTTGGAGCTCAAGGGTCTACCCTACCAGTATATCGAAGTCGACCCGTATAAAAAGCCGCAGTCGTTGCTAGACGTCAACCCGAGAGGTCTGGTTCCGGCGTTGAGACACGGTGATTGGGGATCGTATGAAAGCTCCGTTTTGCTCGAATATGTACGAATTTCCTGCGCCGCCGGGCGACTTTCTCAAACTAACAAGCGCGGCAGCTCGAGGATTTGAACGTTGACCCTCCTCTGCTTCCTCCTGGCGATGCGAAGCTGAGAGCCCACTGTCGGCTGTGGGCGGACTTCGTGAGTGATGGTAGCTTTCCGACTCTGGTTCAGCGTCTAACAGAGGCAGGTCAACCGCCATATAGTTCCTAGCTTCTACCGTGTGCTGCAAGAGCAGGATCAGCAGAAGCAAATTGAACATGCACAGGAACTGCGCGACTCGTTTAACACGCTAGTTGGGGCTGCGGATCAAGAAGGGCCATTCTTTCTCGGGCGGGATATCTCTTTTGTGGATGTCCAAATTGCCCCCTGGGTAGTCCGTCTAAATCGCGTGCTGAAGCCGTACCGTGGCTGGCCGGACCCTGAGCCTGGAACGCGATGGGGCGCTTGGGTGGATGCGATCGAGGCCAACGAGCATATCAAGGCGACGACGAGCTCGCCCGATCTTTATCTTGATAGCTATGAGCGCTATGCAGGTGGGTAATCTTTGTCATGTCTGGCGATCAAGCTGACTGATGTCCGAGCAGAGAACCGCCCCAATACTTCCCAGCTTGCGAATGCGATCAATTCCGGAAGAGGTTTGCCATGATTCCCGTTGTCTCGATAGCATTCGATCTTAGAAATCTCACCAAAGACCGAGAGTCGGGATTTGAGAATGCGATGAATGCGCACCATGTAGCACAGTGCTTTCCGCGTAGTCTAGGGTGTTTTTGCTCCCCGGTGTGCCCTGAAGCCACCTCTTCCACTACTATCTGGGCCGCGAGGGTTGCGGATTGGCTGGCGCGGGGATTGCGGCTGTTCGCCCTGGCTCGTTTCACCACTCTGCCAATCCCTTCTGCCATAAGACGAATTGGGCCTGCTGGAGGGGGAGGCCGGGTCGTAGAGTTGTTTCGGCTTCCCTGACGCGGCAGACTGGTCTCTCCGATCTCGATTGTTATTGTCCCTCCCATTTCCACGGCCCCTCCCTTTCCCTCGGCCTTCTTGCCTAGGAGGGGTCGCGCTTCGTGGTGAAGATGCCCCGGAGGTGGGGGCAGACGGTGAACCAAAAAGTCTTTCGCGCACCTCCTCATACTTGCGCTGCTTCTCCTCCCGGTTCTTCAAGGCCATTGCCTGGCGTTCCTCCGGGGTAGGCTCCGGCGGCTTTTCGTCGTCTGAGTCGTCGGCGTTCAGATCCAAGCGCGCAAGACTCGCGGCAGCCCCAGCGGCCGAAGAGGATTGTCTCGTAGCGATGACTGGATTGCGACTAAGAACCGTGACGGTCGGTTTGAACTCCTGTTTTAGGGGCACATCGGAGGCGGCTTCGTAGAAATGGAAGGTTTGCGGGGATTCGCTGGTTTCAAGGACAATTGTCAGATCGAGAGTGATTGAACAGGATCCTGCTGAACATACGCTTCCGCCCATAATTGGCGGTTGAATTCCAGCTGTTGAGCGCGGCGTTGGGCCTTGCTCACTTTGGACGACACTTTCTTTTCCGGTGGAGGCGGGGTGGGTTCACTGTCCAGTCTCTGGAGTCGAAGTCAGGTTAGTTGCACGGTACGAGAGGACGAATACGCCTAGTCAATACAGGGAGAACGAACGTCGGCTTGCGATTCCCAGTCATCTTCCCAGGCGTCACCCATTGCTTTTGCGCTCATTACTCCGTGTAAAAAAGATTCGGTAAGGCGGAAAAATCGTCAGACTGTTTGTATAAACGAGTGGATGGACGCAGGGATTGCGGGTATTGGAGGGTGGAGATAAATATAGACCAAAAATGGAGACTCTAATGTCTATATCCTGTTCTGTAGTCAGGCAATGTCGTGGTTTTGTGGTGTTTGAGCCGAAAAGTAGGAGAAAGGATGGCCCGACTGAGACCAAATTTGAGGACCGGAATTGCTTAGTTAAGATAAGCCGCCTATCCTCCAACACCTGTAGCTGCATCACCTCTCCATCTTCACCAACAGCTCCAGATTTCACGCTTGTCATTGCCTTTGGTCTAGAAACTCTTATCTACTCGCCTCCCCAGCTCTATCCGACATATTTCGCATCTAATAGCCCGCCATGGCAACAGGTAGGCTCCCAATCCATCGATAACCCACTCCATCCTCCCCGCATTCGCACCCCAGCACGTACTTAAAACAAAACTACGCGTACACGTCTATCTAGCTAACAATGACAGACCCAGATGGAGACTCCCAAATGGCCTCATCCCCCGAATCCACCCATTCCTTCTCCGACATGGACGCCGGCTCCCGCACCCCAACGCAACAAACCCAGACCGCAAATCTGCAGTTCGCAGGCGCCTCGGAGCTCTCCCCGCCAGGCTCACAGACTCAACCAACGGGCGGCTCGATTGACCATACGAAAGAGTTTGTCAATGCCGAAAACGGGACAACGGAGTCAACGGGGTCAACGGAACAGCCGGGGGCGTCGTGGATGAATAAACGGGCGGAGGAGGAGTATCAGCGCGCGATGGAGTATGTTATTGATTTGGATTGGAATCTCGGTTAGTTCCCTCTGCTGAATCACTCGTTTCTTTCCTTTCTTTCCGGATCGCCTGGAAGACAGGCGTCCTTCAATATGGCGCTTCTCGGGTCGTTTGAGATGTTGCCGATCGTGTTCGGGCGTTGAGTGACCTGATGCTAACGACATCTATTTAGATGAATTCGGGGACCCGTTCGATGAGCGCGATATGAAACAGAAGCTGGGTTAGATTAAATGCATGGCTGGCGTTTGGTGTTCTACTTTGCGTCTTGGCTCTCATTTGAGGCGCGCATCGCGTTGATACGGGATGATTCATGAGATACGACCATATGTGGCATTTCAGCTCTTGATCAGGTCAAGTTATAATCAGTCACAGCGTTTATTCGCAATTCTTGTGGTTTGCCGTTGGTTTGCCTTAGTCTGCCCTTAGTCTGGGAGTAAACGTATGGCTTTGTTGTCGCTGCCAGATGGTGGCCTCCATGGAGAGGCGATATCTGACGCAACGAAGTATGATGGAATGATTGTACCCCAGAATACACTCCAAATAAGCTCTTTACCTGCAGCCAATAAGTTTGCATCTTTATCTTCAACGGTTCTGGGGGCAGATCCGGGCTTCTGTTGGCAGGGCAACCGCCCGCCTCACCTGGCCAGTCAAACAACATCGCTCAGAGTTTCAGTAATTCTTCAAACGCGCCATTGCTCTTCGCGAATTCCCAGACATCTCCTTTTACTCTATCTCGCAATTTATCATCACTCTATCTCTTATCAAAAGCACATCTTTCCCAGCATCCCACATTCATCGCCCTTCCGTCATCCCGCGACGAGCATTCCGCGCGTCGACAAAATGGGCACAGCCAATTCGCTCCCCCCACAAATACAATCATGGTGAGTGCCGTTATACTCTATGGATACCTGCGACATTCTCGCGCGGACTTGGAGCGCCCATGATGGAGCGCTGTCAAGTCAGGGGCATCAGGCCCCTTTTCCTCCTATTCATGGTCGGCATACTCCCTACCGTCCGATCTATTGCGACGCGACCGTACAAAATGCGGTCTACTTCAAACATCAAAGCCGAGAAATCTTTGTTCCATCTATGCTAACCCTAATCACGTTTCAGTCTTCTCGACGACAAAGAGATCCATTTTACGCCGGTGAAAAACTCCAAAGCCCCCCGCATATGGGATCGCAAACCCTCGACATCGTTCCTCAATCGTGCAAAGCCCCGGAAGGTGTGGAAGCGCTTCCGGTCCTCGTTCAACAGCATGAAAGCCCTGCAGCAATTGATTACGCCCGATGCGACCGGCCTTAAGGAGAGCGAGCTCCTGCACGAGATCAACGCACGGGCAAACGCGGATTACTGTCGCGGTGTCAAGCGCCAGTGTCGCGTCTTTCAGAGATCTTCCGACGAAGATGACAGCGAGACACCCAGCGGACGCGGCAGGTCATTTCTCGAAACAAAATGGGAATCGGAGGTCTCGCGGAAGCGACGTACGTATACGCTGTTGGACTTACCGGAAATAAACGGTTGCTGACTGCCGAAATAGGCAAACTCCCTGCGACTACAAACAGCACAGACGAACACATGATTGATGATGACCTGCAGGATGATGAGGATGAGGAAATGGCCGAAGTCGGGGAACACTCGGGTGGGACCACGTCAAGCGGGAACAGTGCGGTGCAGGAACCTGAGAAAACCGGCGAATTCCCGACGCAGACCCCGGGCCCTGGTAATATCGGGGCAGCGAATCCCGAAGCGCTACATGGTGAGCCTAGTTGCCTAGCGAACAAAGAGCGTGGGGTGATCGTGAACATAAAATCCCCCGACACTATCAACCTGGACGAAGTTCGTGGCCTTACGCCTACACATGCTGCAGACAGCGCAGCCGCCACCGATGATGCATCAGATGTAGCGACGGCAGCCGATGAGGAGCCGCGACCGGATGTGGCTACGAAGGCTTTAGAGACCGAGAGCAAGGATACAATGGCAGTACCGGTAGAATTAACGACCGAGCAAGAGTCAACACTCGTCAGATCGGCACTGCGCAGCTCCCTGGACGGGGAAGATACCGCACTGCTGAATGACTTTCTATCCAAGGCCAAAGCGAAACGCGAAGCCAAGGCGGCCGCAGAGGCAGAAACAGCAACACCAGTTATCGCGTCGGATCTCGAAGAACAGGAGCAAGAGCAGCCGCCTACGCCGCAGCAGCAGGTTTTTGTTGAGATTCCCACTCCCGAGCGCCGCGCGCTAGAAGACCTAGACGCCAACACTACGTCGCCGCAGAAGTCGCCCTCTAAGGCGGACGAGAAGGAGGATAGTACGGGTGACAATGATTCTTCAAGTCCAGTTGCCCGTCGGAGCACGCGAGTGAGGTCGCTCCAGAGAGCGGCAGCGCCGAGTTCCCGGACGACGCTTTCGCTTCGTCGCGCGAGGGGAAATGAATTCGTTTTCCTTCAACGGACAGACGCACAGAAACTTGCTCTGGAGACTCGACAAAACACGAAGCATAACAGGGGAGATGCTTTGATGCCGAAATACGTGCTGCAGAACTTGGGTCGCACGCCAGAGCCGAGCTTCAACATCGCTGATGACGGCCTCAGAAGGAACAATAAGCCGAAGAAGTACGTTACCTGGAACGAAGAACGTCTGGAGGAGTATGAGGGCGATGCGTCAGGGAGCGACGACGAACTAGCCAGCAGCAAGCAGGATTCCAAGGCCACAACATCAAAGCCCACCGATAAAAAGAAGGAGGCAGGCAGTCGGCGCACTTCTTTGCCCCAATCGTCGCTAAGGACTGGTGTTGCTGCGCCGGGTTCAAAGACCGCGCCTGCAGCTGCAGCGACTACTGCATCTCCAACTGCAGCCACCGGAAGTGCAACTCGGGGCCGTCGCGTGCGGCGGTTGGGACCACCCAAGCCACTTGAATCCACCCTCATCACAGACTCCTCGAACGACTCGACATCATCGCCTTCGTCGCCCACCGCGACCGCGGGATCGACTCCTATCGCGAAGCGGAAGAAATTGATGCCCAAGTCGCCGAAGACCATGACCAGGACGTCGTCGAAGCTCCCTACCGCTGCTGCTTCTGGCTCTAATGACGTGCCCTCGCTACTGAGTGGTGGGCGCTCAGTGAAGACAAATCTGCTCAAGGTCAATGCGGGCTCAACGCCCATGCCGAGAAGAGTTCGTCGATCTTGATTGTTGATTATACCCTCTGTTCTGTTGATATGATAGGACTGTTACTTAGTAATATGGCGAAACGGCGTTTGGGGGGAAACATGGGGGTCGGTTGTGCTTCTGTTGATAATGATACCAATCACTACGTTTATAGTTTGTCACTCTCTTGTCGAGGATCTTCTCGATTGCCTTCAGTATAGCACTTCTTCGGTCTTTGTTGTCACTATTGTTCCTCTGTTCACAGGCTTCACGGCGTCTCATTCTCAACAGGATCACGCTCCTCGCGCTTTTTGGGTTTGGTTGACCACCCTTATCCTGGTTGGTTATGCAACAGCACGTAAGATCTGCAGGGTCGGCGGAATTACAGCCATTTTTGCGTTCACTGTCACCCTGGTCTTGGATGATGAAGGATGGCGAGTCTACAGAGTCTACCGAGGTTCTACTAAGCACACCAGGTAAGGCTGTATACACTCTTGCCCCCTCGATGGTATCAGTGTCCTTATGCAGAGCCCGGGGCAACTCATCAGTCTAGCAGGGGGCATTCTGATGTCCATAATTTCAATAACCTGTAGAAAGGACCCAGGGTAGCGTTAAAACAACCCCGCAAAAGCCACAATATAAATGCGGACTGTCCTGCATGGCTAGTTACAGCCGTGGCTTGAACTAACTGATAGGACCCTTTTTGCCTTTTCCCCAAGACGCCCCTCGCGCTCAAACTTCGAAGATATTGAATTTGGGCCTTGGCCGCTGTTAGATTGATCTCTTGGGCATGATCTTCGAGAACTGCGGTGTAGACTGTCGATGGAAGCGAAGGAAAACAGGGGTCTACGGTAAGGTTGGCTGCATATTCGCCACCCCGAGTCAGTCTGCACTGACGGAGCGAACTAAACTTTGTCATTGACTTGATCAGCCCTGGGGGTTCTACGGAGTATCTACGGAGTACTCCATGCATGGTGTTTGCTCACCATCACCACACTACAGACTTCGGGATAACCCCGGAAAACCGACCTCTCCAGGATGCAGATACAATGAGCAAGCTCGTCCAAATGCACAATGATATCAGACCTGAATCCTCGCATTGGTCGTGTCTACGGAGTACAGTAGTACGGTCTACCGTCTACCGTCTAGTCTACCCACAGTCTACAGACAACACCCGCTTTAGGTATGCATGCAGCATGTACGGGTACGCCACAAAGTCAAATTAAATATCGCATCAACTACTAGCAAAAAGACAGCCGTGTATTTTGTATTCTTCGGCCATAGCCGCGGGAAGCCATGACGATCATCGTGATCGCCAGTTCTTCCTGGGTTGGCCTTGGGCTGGCGGCTAACGGTGCGGGCAGCGGGAAAGAGGAGGCGGGGTTGGTGATGGTGATGAGGTTGAGGCTGGGAGGTTTGTCTGAGATGTATGCAGTATATCTATTCTGTTGTAATAGCTATTCTGGCTGCAGAGCAGCTTTTGGGTTGAAGAATGTCCTTGTAGTTGTCAGGGACTTGGTACTTTTGCTTGTTTGTCCTGGGCAAGATGTCAGGACGGGATGTTCCTGGTGCAATCTATCTATATCCTTGTCTGCCAAACATGACTAGATCAATAGCATCTGCATTAAATGGCAGGGAGTTAGGCTAATTATGAACACATCTGCATCCCATTCCCGACTGCATCTATCGCGCTCTCACTGGCCCTCCTCCAAGGTTCCTCTCTACTTTGTATCTACTCCGTAAAGCATGCTCTCAAGCTCGCTCAACTTACTTCATACAACCACCTCCATCCATTTCCCCTGCCTCGTTCCTTAAACGCCCGACGAAGGCTATCTCATCTCCATCTCCACCCGGCGTTTTCCGCGACAATAAATATCTCACTTCATACATCTCCATACATCACTGATACAAGTAACAAAGCACTCAATGGAGAGTGGACACCCCACCAGCCTGATACACGGCCACAACGCCTCACTAGCGACTGGACAGTTAGGGCTGCGCTGCCCCACCGCGTCAACCAAGGGGGTTAGGGCTTAAACTGCATTTGCCCACCGGTGCATTGGGGTCTCCCGTCTTTTTCCGACCAGCAGCGGCATTACGTCATTGCCCGTTGGGATGCTTGCGGGTTCCTGGAGGACTGTCCTCCGTGCTCATGCATTGGACGGGAACGGTAGCTGGACACGGTGCCGGTGCGAGGCTGCTAAGAGCCCAAGGGGGTAGGTAGGATTGGTGTGCTTGTCGAATTATTGGTTGCCGAGTAACTTGGTGTTTTGGGTTTGTATGGTGTAAGTTGTAACCTAACTAGAACTTCGGCAACGAGGGATGATGGAAGCTGTAAGTGGGATACACATCTAATGTATTTTTATTCATTCTAACTTCTATCTAAGCTAGACTGAGAGCCGTTCCAATTCATTTACTTCGTTCCGGATGGCGGCTTCGTTCGGCTCACATGCTCTCCTGCTCTTTTGGTCCTCTGGCCGGGGAACTTTAGAGCAAAGAGTGCGAGCTATGACCTGCATACAACGAAGCGCTACCGTATCCAACTCAAATAATCCAAAATCCCTACCAACCGCCCAAATAGATAATCATAAACGCTTAAGCAGAGAGGTTCTTGGCGGTCTCCTCGGGCCAGACATCGTAGCCAAAGGTGTCCTTCATGTTGACGAAGCGGAAGTGACGGCCCTTGGCGACGGCGTTGACGGCCTGGTAGTCCTCCTCGGAGAGCTCGATGCTCTTGAAGTTGGACTCAATGCGCGCGGGGTTGGAGCTCTTGGGGAGGACAACGTAGCCGCGCTTCAGACCCCAAGCGATCAGGACCTGGGCGAGGGTGTTGCCGCCCTTGTTGGCGATGTCGTTGAGTGTCTTGTTCTCGCTAACGCGCTCGCCGGTGGTGGGGACCTGGTTCTGCGAGCCCAGAGGGGAGTAGGCCTCGGGGAGGATGTTGTGCTTCCAGCAGAACTGGATGAGGTCCTCGTTGGGGAGGAAGGGGTGGATCTCGATCTGGTTGACCTGGGGCACGACCTTGGCGTACTTGAGCAGCTTCTCAAGACCCTCGATGGTCCAGTTGGAGACACCGATGGCGCGGGCCAGCTTGTCCTCGTACAGCTTCTCCATGGCCTCCCAAGTGGGCTTGGGGTCCTCGGTCAGGTCCTTCAAGATCACGTACTAGGTCTGGTCAGCTTTGTTCTACGTTGTACAAAGGTCGGGCACGTACCTTTCCGTCAGGACCGATCTTGGGCTTCTCCTGGCCGTCCTTCTCGGCGGCAATGGGCCAGTGGACGAGGAAGAGGTCGACGTAGTCGGTCTTGAGCTTCTTCAGGGAGTCCTCGATCGACCAGCGAACATCCTCGGGACGGTGAAGGTGGTTCCAGACCTTGGTGCAGATGAAGATGTCCTCACGCTTGACGGAGGGGTTCTCCTTCAGGAAGTCGCGGAGGCCATCGCCCACCTCGTCCTCGTTCTGGTAGAACCAGGCGCAGTCCAGGTGCCTGTATCCGGTCTCGAGGGCCTTCTTGACGGCGCGGTAGGTCTCGCCAGAGGAGCCCTCGCTGGCGAAGGTACCGAAGCCGACGGCGGGGATGGTGACGCCGTTGTTGAGCTTGAAGGTCTTTCCGCTAGACATTGTGAAGTGGTTGTATGAGAATGCAATTGGAGAGTAAGAATGATGAAGAGAGAAGAGAGGAAGAGAGGAGAAGAAATTGAGGTCGCGGTCGCCTTGATGAGGATGAGGAGCGATGACGAAGGAGAGAGCTGGTGGGGTTGTCGGTGGGCAGGGAGGGAGGGGTTGGCCTGCTCAACGTGAGGCCGCCGCGGGGTTTTTCCTAATGCTTCCAAGACACTGCAAACGCACCGAAGCTAAATTGATTGGTGACAGTCCTGCTTTAATGCTCCGACTCCCATCCAGCTTCCGCTGTTCAATTATTATAGCAGCGACTGCAGTGGTGGACGAGCAGCAGCAGCTGGCAGCAGCGATGCCCCGCCATGAGCTACGGATGAGGCCATCACCAGGGCCGTAACGGTATTTCGATGACATCACAGCTGGATCGTCATGGCTCCATCGATCTGTGGCCGCTCCACGGGTGGAACTGCCTGCGGGCCAATCAGCGCTGCCAGTCGACTCCGCTGTCTCTGGTCCTGTCCAATCGCGGTGTTCCCTCAACAATTGTTTCTGGAGTTCGTCGCGAGACAACAACTGGTATTTTTGAAAGCAACGCTGAGAATTTCAGGGCCGATATCATTGAGCAGGAGCTGCCTCAGCTGCGTGAAGCTTCAATGGGAGCACCGAGAGCTGCAGGACAATAAGCTCGCCCCTTTTCTGTTCGCTGGGCTTGACGGGGCTGCAAGGTGGCTGAATCTAGCCCTTATCTGGGCTCATTGCTCAAGATAAAGGAGAAGCAGCGTCAGTGTCAGAGTAAAACCGGCTGTAAATTACTTTCTCTGGCTGCTATGGACCAGTGGATAAGGCGCCAGCTAATGATGATGGCGACAATCCCATGGATGATATGATGATACAACTCAAGGCCCTTTGGGTGGAGCCGGCCATGGTAAGGGATTCCATTTCATGCTCGCAGGGGAAGACACCATCCCGCCACTGCCTCTGCTGCTCTATTTATTATCCAGCTCCCTCGCCTGCTTGAGCTTTTTCTTATCAAGTATTCTTTTCTTTGTTGGTCTTCCTCATCTATCAGACCTTCTCTCCTCCCCCTCTCCTATCTTTACCCTCCAGCGATTCTTTCTAGTCTCGCTTCCCATTGACATATCCTTACCTATCTTCCGTCTCTCAATCCCTCACAATGCCTCGCTTTGACGACTCTGACTTCGGCGTCGAGGCCTCTCCCTCCGCTGCTGCTCCTCGCGGCTCTACAAACGACACCCGTTCGCCGGGAGACCGTGGCAGCACCGGCGGCCAACTGCCCATTCCCAACGTCGACAACATCGTTGAGGTCCCTGCCACCCGCAGCTCCATCAGCGATGCCGCTTCCTTCATGCACAACCTGAGCTTGGCTCCCTCATCCCGGGACCGCCGCGGCTCTCGCAACTCCTTCGGCACATCTCTCCCCATCCCCCGCTCTCCTCGTGTCTCTCGTCTCTCCTCCGTTGTGCCTGCCGACGTCTCCCGCGACATCCTGGCCTCTCAGATCCAGGATATGTCCAAGGAGAAGGTCGCCGCTGCTAAGAACATGGCTTTCGCTTTCGACATTGACGGTGTGCTTGCTCACGGTAACCACCCCATTGAGGAGGCCAAGCAGGCCCTCAAGATGCTCAACGGCGACAACGAGCTCGGAATCAAGATCCCCTACATTCTCCTGACCAACGGTGGTGGTAAGACCGAGGCTGCCCGTTGCCAGCAGCTCTCCGAGGTCCTCGACTGCCCCATCTCCACCGACCAGTTCATCCAGTCCCACACCCCCATGCAGGCGCTGTCCGACTACTACGAGACCGTCCTGGTCTGCGGTGGTGAGGGCACCAAGATCCGTGAAGTCGCCGAGAACTACGGCTTCAAGAACGTCGTCCTCCCCAAGGACATCCAAGCGTGGGACCCCACCGTCTCCCCCTGGGGCCACTTCAGCGAGCAGGACCGCAACGAGGCCAAGCCCCGCGACTTCTCCAAGATCAAGTTCGACGCCATCCTCGTCTTCGCCGACTCCCGCGACTACCAGACCGACTTCCAGATCATCATGGACCTCCTCCTCTCCGAGGACGGCCGCCTCCTCACCCGCGCCAAGGACCTCGCCCAGGGCCGCATCCCCATCTACTTTTCCCAGGGTGACCTGATCATGCCCACAGACCACAAGGGCCCCACCCGTCTCACACAGGGTCTGTACCGTATCTCCATCGAAGCCCAGTACAAGGCTCTGACGGGCCTTGACCTCGAGCGTGTTGTCTACGGAAAGCCCGAAGAGGCTACCTATAAGTACGCCGACGAGGTCCTGCGTTCGTGGATGGAGCAGATCCACAACGAGAACACCCTGCCCCAGAACATCTACATGGTCGGTGACAACCCGGCCTCCGACATCTGCGGTGGCAACATGCACGGCTGGAACACCTGCCTCGTCCGCACCGGTGTCTTCCAGGGCGGCGACAACGACGACACCAACCCGGCCAACTTCGGCGTCTTCCCTCACGTCCTCGAGGCCGTCAAGGCCGCCGTCCGCAAGGAGCTCGGCCAGGAGTTCAAGTTCAAGTGGAACCCCAAGGTCAACCCTGTCCTGCACGGCAACAACGCCTCCGCCATCGAATAGACGGCTTCACCCATTAACCTCCGGATTAGATTGACGAAAAACAATTGGCGTTTGGGTCGATACATCTCATGTCCCATCTCATTCTCACGTTAGACGCACGAGCATATCAGTGCTTTTTGCTTTGGGTTTTATTTTTTGCTTACAGGTTGGGCTTCTGATACCAATGTCCGGATTCTTGTACGGGCTACCTACACACCTCCCCGGCTAGCAGGCTATCACGGTTTTCGTTTCTTATTTTTCTCTCTATATCATGTGGCACGACACAATTTAGAATTCCCAAGTTGGACCAAAATATGTCATCTTCCTATCATCATCATCATTATTCCCTACACGGTAGCGATCATTCTCTTTGAGGATTCAGCAGAGTTAGAACCAGACAAATTAGACTTAGACAAGCTTCCATCCCATCCAGTCTTCCACGGTAGTAAACATAAAGAAGCTCTTTCACCGAACAACCATCTAGGTAATCTAGTGAATCCAGCACCCAAAGTCTCAACTCTCAAACCCATGAATGATGACGCCATCTTGATGCGGGATCCGCCCGTCCGGCGTCCGGCGTCCGCATCGTCTTGGAGCGCAACCCACGGAACCCACTCGTGCGTACCCGAGCATCGCCCGATCAACCAGGCAACGTCCACGTATCCCGGTTTGGGGCTTCGTCGGGCCTGTATCGAACTCTCCGAGTCAGGGAATACGAGTTGCCTTGCGGGTTTTCATCGAACGTCTGCTGTGCTGTATTTGTCGTTCGTTTCTGCTGTTTTCCAAGGTTTGTATGGACGGTGTACGGAGTAAGTATAGGTAACGTTAAGATTCGCCGAATGTCAGCCGGCCGGGATGCCCCGAGGATGCATCATGCAGGTGGGAATGGGATGAACGGAACGGAATCGGATGGATCATGGCCTGAAGATATGCCGATCTTACCGTGAGGCCGTACCGTAACGCTTTGGTGAGCTTCGTGACTTGGTCGCAGCCTACTTTGTTGATGATTCAATTCACACTCGGACTTTGTATATGCTCTTCATTGACACTGACATCACGACAGTGTATTCGGCTCGGACTTCGGTGTCTTCGATTTTCTGTGAATTCCGGGAAATGGCCGACGCTAATAAGTTTTAGCAATATAAGCGCAAAATTTATGAGCTTTATATATACAAATCCTCGATGGTCTAACGGTCATGATTTCCGCTTGTCACTTCTAGCAAGAACAAGCGCGGGAGACCTGGGTTCGACTCCCAGTCGGGGAGATTTCTTTTTGCTTTTTGGTCCAACTTCCCCTGCAACACTTGTGGTGGGATCTATGCTTACATCCATGCTTAGACTGCTGGACATGGCTGCCATCAGTTCTCCAACATGACTCATGGTGAGTAGATGCGGCGGTGCACCTCCACAGGGCTTGGCGGTTGCTGGATGGGCTTCACGACGTGAGGATGAATCATTATGGCTCCCTTTTGGTGTGTCCGAGGCTGTGAGGCCGAGGGTTACTCCGATGGATGTACAGTCTTTTTAGGGCTGGCTCCGGGCTGTATAAATGTCGTCCATCCTGCAAGAAAGTAGGATATTCACATCGACATGTAGGCGTATTCTCGACGAATATCCACAATGGGATCAATTGGGAAGCCTGGACTTATACACGCGCCCGAGTGGCGCCAGGTAAGTTATGCCCTCATCCTTCCCAATACATATATTGATAAGGACGCAGTTCATCGAAGAACTCGGCGACCTCCTCCTCATGCGCGGCGAAACAGTCGCAGAGCTTTACGAAAACTCCAACGACCACATCCAGAAGCTGCTAGCAAAGTACGACTTTCCACCGCCAGATATGTCAGTGACGACGGAGGACATCACATTGAAAGACGGCGTTTGGGTGCGCATCTACACCCCGCCAGCAGCCGACAACACTGCGACAACGACGACGACGACGACGACGACGACGACGACAGCAGGTAGTGGCGGCAAAGCAGAGGAAGACGTAACAGTCTTCATCCACGGCGGCGGCTGGATCATGGGCAGCGTAGACCACGAGGACACGGGCGTACGCAAGCTCTGCAAAGCCGTCGGACACAAGATCGTGAGCGTGGGGTATCGACTCGCCCCGAAATACATGTACCCCGTGGCGCTGGAGGACTGCCTCCAAGCGACGCTGTGGACACTGGAGCACTTTGCCCCGACAGTTTCCTCCGTCTCGCTGATGGGCGGCTCGGCCGGCGCGAACCTCGCATTCGGCGTCGCGTTGAAACTCCTCGACTCTGGACTCGGTGATAAGTTCAAGGGCGTGCATGCGCTTGTTCCCTGTGTTGTTCATCCCGATGCAGTTCCCGCATCGAAGAAGGCACGGTTTACATCGTACGAGGAGAATGCCGAGGCGACGGTGAACACGTTGAACTGTATGCGGTGTTTTCTGGATAGTTATGGCCCGCCGGCGGACGACGTTTACTTTTCTGTTCTGTTGCATCCGCGGATTGGGGAGTTGAAGAGGGTGTATATTGTGGAGTGTGGCGCGGATACGTTGAGAGATGATGCGAGGCTTATGAGGGATGCGCTGGTGGAGGAGGGTGTGGAAGTGAAGTATGATGCGTACGCCGGGTTTCCGCATTACTTTTGGTCTTATCCGAGGAAGACGCTGGAGGAGGTGTCGAGGGTGTGCCATGAGAATATGTATAGCGGGTTGAGGTGGATTCATGAGTGATTGGGATGTCAGAACGAAGTGAGAGTTACATCTCTCTCGTGCTGGGTCCGAGTGTAAGTAAATTAGGTAGTGTCCAACATGCATCAGTTCAGCCAAATAGTATTTTGGGAATATGCTCAAGCATCGATGTAAATACAGAGCTTCCTAGGCGGCTAAGGATGCACCTCGAATCTCAGCAGCCGAAGTTAAACCATAATCGCACACCGCAAAAACCCCTTTCGATGCAAGAAACATGAGCTACGCCTGCCAGGTTATTGTGCGTTGTCATCTCTGAGGTTAAGTCAAAGATATTCACATGGAAAATGTAGCCCTAGCTGCAGGTCGCCATGGAATATATATACAGTAGTAGCTGTTCTGTTTTTATATAGCCAATTAAAACGGGCCCAAGGATCTATGAGACAGGACAATGCAAATATCCGATGGCAAAAACACGAAATAGTGGCACCCTATCCCCTCAGATATCCTGTGCACTCACTGTGTCGATTGCTACCGATCACAACCTTGCCCTGACAGACAACACATAGTACCTCTCACGGCCCTAACAACAGTGCAACTCATCTATAAAGTAAGCTACAATGACTCCGAGGCCTATTTGGCAAGGGACTTCGGTTGTCTGGGCCGTGGAGGAGAAATCTGTATCCGAAAGGAATCGAGCCCTAATCTTTCAATGGTGTTCAGTCTGTCCATAACCTTTTACACTGATAGTGTCAAAAATAATAACTTCATTTTATCCAATCCTCGATGGTCTAACGGTCATGATTTCCGCTTGTCACCTATCAGGAACAAGCGCGGGAGACCTGGGTTCGACTCCCAGTCGGGGAGATTTCTTTTTGTTTTTGCTTCTACCGCAGGTAAACACGGTCTGGTTTTTTTTTTTCGGTCACGGTGGCGGGAATCACAGCAACAATGGCACCAGCTCGCTAGTCTTTGGTTCGCTGATGATATCTGGGGCAGGGACAGTATCTTGTTGTGACTCGCGGGCCCGAACTATAGTAAAGCGTATACACAGAGCAAACTGTACGTAGTAAGACTTCCTCACATATATCGAGGGGAGACTATAGATACTTAAGGCTTCTCCCTACAATATCTCGTTGAATGGGAACCAGCCCCAAGGGAAGGTATCCCCACCTGACCACATCCTCAATGCACAATGGTCAACGGAGCTATTTAGGAGACGCCGCTACCCTCAGAGTAAATGAGCCTCGAAACAGACATAAATCTGGCCCTAAGACGCCATAAATCCTACAGGCCAGTAGCGCCATTGACCATACCATGACTGTAAGCTGACAATAAAACATAGCAGCAAGAGTATAGATTAAACTCGAGCCCTTATAATTTGCTCAGTGATCCATACATGACCAACTTCACTGCCAGGGCCTCTATATGAGCGGCGATATCGGGAATAGTGCCAGATCTTATCAGATAAGATGTCATACCCCTCAAGTGGTCATGTGAGCGGTCAGTAACCCCGCCAATAAGTCTCTGATAGGGCGGCAGAATCGGTGATTCATCTTTTTTTTCTTCCTCCGCCATCTCCTTATCGATCGAGTTTGGTCCTTGTCTTTCGGCCTGGTCTTGCTTCAGGATATTGCTCAAATTCTACAGCAGCATATCCACTCTTAACCCAACAAGCTCTGGCTTTCATTGACCAGCCTTCACCTCACAATATCCGAAGAGACCTACATCTGATCCCCACCATGGCGACAGAGGCACCTCACAGCACGTTCGACACGATTCTCGTGTTGGACTTCGGTTCTCAATAGTATGCGCTCTTCAACACCACTTCGAAATGTTGAGGCGTGAAACTGACTCCGACGGCAGCACCCACCTCATCACCCGCCGCCTGCGCGAAATCAATGTCTACTCTGAGATGCTCCCGTGCACCCAGAAGCTCGCCGATCTCGGATGGAAGCCCAAAGGAATCATTCTCTCCGGTGGCCCCTACTCCGTCTACGAGGACGGTGCCCCCCACGCCGACCCTGCGTTCTTCGATCTCGGCGTCCCCATCCTCGGTATCTGCTACGGTCTCCAGGAGCTTGCCCACCGCCTGCACGCGGACAACGTCGTTGCCGGAACTGCTAGGGAATACGGTCACGCGGACCTGAAGGCTACCAGGTTCGGCGGTCACGTCGACAAGCTCTTCGAGGACATCGAGGGCGACATGACCGTCTGGATGTCTCACGGTGACAAGCTCCGCAACCTGCCCGAGGGCTTCCACACCATCGGTACCACCCAGAACTCCGAGTACGCCGCTATTGCGCACAAGTCCGACCCCATCTACGGCATCCAATTCCACCCCGAGGTTACCCGTGAGTCTTCTTTTACAGATGGAGAGAGCCCGGATGCTGATATTGTGTAGACACCCCTCAAGGTGGACAGCTCCTCAAGAACTTCGCCGTGGGCATCTGCGGCGCGGAGCAGAAGTGGACGATGGCCGAATTCATCGGCCAGGAGATCCAGCGCATTCGCTCTCTCGTCGGCCCTGACGGACAGGTCCTCGGTGCCGTCAGCGGTGGTGTCGACTCGACCGTCGCCGCCAAGCTGATGACCGAGGCCATCGGCGACCGATTCCACGCCGTCCTGGTCGACAACGGCTGCATGCGCCTGAACGAGTGCGAGAAGGTCAAGGAGGTCCTCCAGGCGCAGATGGGCATCAACCTGACCGTCGTCGACGCCGGCGCGGAGTTCCTCGCTGGCCTCAAGGGCGTGCACGACCCCGAGCAGAAGCGCAAGTTCATCGGCGGCAAGTTCATCGACGTCTTCGAGGAGGAGGCCCGCAAGATCGAGGCCAAGAGCTCCGGAAAGGTCGAGTGGTTCCTCCAGGGCACTCTCTACCCTGGTACGTCTTCCCCGCACAACTTACCCTTTTCCCCCTACTAATATAACATTCCAGACGTGATCGAGTCCATCTCCTTCAAGGGCCCCTCCCAAACCATCAAAACCCACCACAACGTCGGCGGCATCGCCGAGCGCCTCATGCGCGGCCACGGCCTCAAGCTCATCGAGCCCCTCCGCGAACTCTTCAAAGACGAAGTCCGCGAGCTAGGCCGCCAGCTCAACATCTCCGCCGAGCTCGTCGGCCGCCACCCCTTCCCGGGCCCAGGCATCGCCATCCGCGTCCTCGGCGAAGTCACCCCCGAAAAGGTCGAGATGGCCCGCAAGGCCGACCACATCTTCATCTCCATGATCCGCGAAGCCGGCATCTACGACGAGATCGGCCAGGCCTATGCGGCGCTTGACCCCTCGCGCGCTGTCGGCGTCATGGGCGACAAGCGCGTTTACGCGAATATCATTCTGCTCCGCGCGATCTCCACAAAGGACTTTATGACTGCGACGCCGTACCCGTTCACCTATGAGTTCTTGTCCAAGGTCTCGACGAGGATCGTTAACGAGGTTGCGGGTGTGTGTCGCGTTTGTTACGATTACACGAGTAAGCCGCCTGGAACTATTGAGATGGAGTAGAGGTGTACGTCTGTGGTTGCTTAGAGGGGGTCTACTTGATAGAGGATCGGAAAAGTTCTACTACATAGATAGATGGGGGGTTATACTTTACGAGATATTGCTTATGATTTTCAGCCAATGCCATGCATCATTCTTCACAGTTCACGCTTTGCTACTTCGTCTCTTCTAGTACTACTGTAGTACCCTCTGGGTCCATCTCTCTACCCGCATCCCGATATGTACCCATGTAGGATTTCCATCCAAGCAGAGCAGCCCTCCGCTTATTATATTCCGATTTTACCCTGGCGGCTACCGCAATCTTGAATCCATAGCTTACGGAGTCGCGGGCAGCCACGCCGCCCTAGCCCTAACCCAGACCCCACCACCATCCACCGACGCCCAAAAAAAAGCAACGCCATGCATCCACCATCCACCAAAAAGCAATTCTAAATGCCAAAAAGGAATCTCCCCGACTGGGAGTCGAACCCAGGTCTCCCGCGCTTGTTCTTGCGAGAAGTGACAAGCGGAAATCATGACCGTTAGACCATCGAGGATTGGATGAAGTGACAGTTCAGGTCTTAACATTATTAAGCAAAATCAGCTTTACCAGATGTACTTGATTTAGGGCTAGCGGATACCCTTCCTTACATAGGTACCCTGGGTATAAGACACGGCTCTAGGCAAATAGTATCGCAAATTGTTGAATCTTGCTATTTAACCTTATGGCCCATGGCTTCCCCTCTTAGCTGTCAAGCAGGTGTTGACGATGACGGACACGGTAACTTGAAAGTAGATATCAAGGCGAATAGTCACTGTCAAGAAACCGCCCAGCTAAATACATTTTGTGTGCAGGCAAGAGGGGGTACATGCATGAAAGGCGACAGTTATCCGTCTCATAGCAAGGACTCTAATTGGCATCTAGAGGCTCAATCTCTAGTCCACCCGCCGCTCTCAGCAGCAAATCCACCACTTGATCCCATCCACGCTTCTCAGCAAGCTGCACTGCCGTGTCTCCATGGCCATCAACAGCATTGGGCTCTGCCCCTAGTCTGAGCAAAAGTCGCACAAGGGGCTCTGGATGTCGAGTTTCGCCCCACAGTACTTCATGGAGCAGAGTGCGCCCTTCGCAGGCCATATTTATATCAACGCCATCCTTGACGAGCTGTTCGAGAATTTCTAGTGCCTGGCCAGCCGCATGAGCTACTTGTGTTGCGGAATAAACGGGGGAATTGACTAGCGTAGAAAGGCAAGCCCATATCGGCTGATGCTCGCGTGGTAGTGTCACTGTCAATTTCGAGTTGGCGCCGTGCGCTAAAAGCATGCGAACTGCTTTTGGGCTGCCTCTCCAAGCAGCATAATAAAGGGCCGTTCGATGCTGTATATCCAATTGAGCAACCGGAGCGTCATGTTCCAAAAGGTACTCGATGACTGGCAGATTATCACTCATCGCGGCATAGTGCAGTAACGTTTTTCCTGATTCGTCTTTTGCTCCGATGTCAAGACCAGCAATCTCGAAAGCAGCGTGCAGTGTAGGTACTTTCATCCATCCACGTAACTCGAACGTCTTAAGATGAACTGGGTCCAGGTACTCGCCGGTTTTGCTGTCATGGCATAAGTCATATACAGCCGACAAGAGACACTTGTCGGTGGAACCCTGGCCATCAATTGCCGACACCCAAAGAGAAGCAAAGGGCCCGGCGCCCCATGGTACTTCATGATGGCCATGGCGCATAACGAGTTCTAAGGTTTCCATCCCTCCAATAGCGGCGAAATGCATTGAAGTCCACCTAACTTCAACGCTAGATCCAGAACCATCCACTTCGTATATCCGACTTGCAACTCGATTGAGATCTGCGCCTTTATGCAAAAGCCATTCAGCAGCCGCCACGTGACCTTTCCAGAGTGCTACATGGAGGGGAGTGGGTAGATTGGATTCAGAAACCGGGTACATGACTGTGGCTTGCGAGCCAGAAAGCTCCATAATCCCAATATCCATAACAGCTGACAATTGATTTCCAGGAAATGAATCCAAGGCTGCGCCATTCGAGACCAGGAGCTCCATGATTTCCGTATGGTTTTCGATGACCGCAAAATATAGTGCTGGCCATGTATCGCTCAAGTCCCATTGCCCAGTGTTGACGTCTACCCCCAGCTGGAGTAGTCGTGCTGTTAAGTCCTTGTCATTATTCTTTGCTGCTACGCATAATAAGGCCTCTTTGCTTTTGATCGTGTCCACAGAAAGCCCATATTCGGTTATCCAGAGCTTCAGCAGAGTATAATGTTGAGCTTCAATAGCGTAAGAAACTGGTGTTTCTGCGTCACGGTTCTCACATGTCAGATCAGAGCCGCTTTCCAGCAGCAGACGCACGATCTCAACGCGATTAGGAGTCTCGCCGAATCCCGTAGCGCCATGGAGAGCCGTGTTGCCATACTCATCAGTCAGCTCTAAGTTGGCCCCTCGAGATAAAAGCTTTTTCACAGCCCAAACCCAGCCTGACCGTACAGCGGACAACAATGGCAGTGTTCCCTGTGGCGCGGGTCTGTTGATATCTATATCGCAATCTAGCAGCATGGAAAAGATATGCTCATTCTTGCATGTAATCGCGGCTTCCAAAGAACCATATTCTAAAGCTGATCTGACTAAGTCCGAATAATCAGGGTCTGTGCTATCCAGAAGCATGCTCACCACGTCTTCATGCTTAGCTGTTATTGCAAGATTGAGGGCGAGAGTCTTATCGAAGACGGTAGCTCCATGCTTGAGCAACAAACACACTATCCCTAGGTGTCCCTGTTCTGCGGCGTTTTGCAAAGCTGAGGGTTCTTTTGCCATTTCCCAGGATGTTCCATGATTTCGGTATCTTTCTTCATGACTGTAATCCACTCCTTTCGTCAAGAGAAAGGCCACAAGATCTTCATGACCTCCCTTTGCCGCGATTCTCAACGCTCTGTGGACTGCATCATCCGAAATGCTCAGGTCGTAATCAACAGATAGCTTAAAAAGCCTTTGCACTGAGGTCAGGCTGTGTCTTGAAGCTGCATCGAGGAGGGTGATGGTTCTGTCCTCTGCCGTCGCAGTCCCAAGTCGCCATAATTCCCGGTCGAGACGATGTTGTAGTGTCCTGCATGTTTGGATAAGATTGTTGATATGCCGCGGGTAAAGACTTTTGCACAGGTAGAGGTGTATGTCTTCGGGGAGTTCGAGGAAGGAGCACATTGTGACTCTGGGAGCTTGGAAGGATCGAGAGATAGTGAGGCAAAGATGTACTGCTCATCAGATGTCTTGTTGCCCGGCGTTGCTCGTCATTTCTGGGAGCTTAGAGCTGGTGTGTTACTGAGGTTCAGAGGAAAAGCCTAGGATCCTCCAGCATCGCGAGTATCGAGGATGAGTGATATATTGGACGTGGTCGATGAGCAAATCGATCTCCGAGTCAAGCTGGTGAGTGAAGAAGTAAAAAAAAGTTATTCATGGACTGAAGTGGGGTGGATGTGGAGGGAGGTGAGGATGGGAAGTGACGGCAAGTGAGGTGGAAGCCAGATCCCAGCAAAGTAAGTCCTCAGCCGCGCAGTGGAAGTTTCCGATGTGTACATCATAGATATGCTTGCGTTTGTGCCTGGATTTCTGATACCCGACCCCTTACTAAGCCTTATAAGTAGTCATCTTATAGCTAGATGCTACACAGGGTCTGACGCAGGTTGTGAGGGTTGATCTGGAGCGGGGGCTGCTGGTTGAGTTGAGGCCCCTGTTTTGGGATGTTGCGAGGGTTAATTGGGCGTTGGGGTACCGGTATGATTCATTGGTAGCTGGGGCTGGCCGGGGGGGGGGGGGGAGGCTTGAATCCATTTTGGTTCTACACAGCCCAAAGCGAAAATGCTCGTTAGAAGGGGGAGCAGTTATGCTTGTTCGCGTTTTGGTCGCTTACTGAAGTAACAACGGTACGATATAGTATGTCCATTGCGTGGGTTGGATTGACTGTGTGCTGGCGCAATCAATGCCCTCATAGCTGTCCAGGCTGTTTTTTACATCACCCGTTCTCTCTGGTATTACCCTAAAGTCTATGGCATTGATTATTTCGGCACTGCGACCCCGGGTGTTAGCATGATAAATATACGCTGATGGTTGATGGCGTTCCAAGGCCGTGGATGCAACCTCGCCGGCCCTTCCGCAGACCAAGTCATCCATGCACGTCACCAAGCCTGAAGTGGGAGATATAGAAGGTCTTGAGCTCATATAAGCACCTCCCATAGGGCTAGGTAAGCAGTAGTGGAGGATACAAAATCCAGGCACAGGGTACCATTAGTCCACGCTTATAACTTAACCATTTTTTTCTAATTTATTTTTCTTTCCCTCTTTTCATTCTTAGAAACATCCACTATAATATAATATAAAAAGGATTTAATATATATACCCCAAAGAGTCCATAATAATGTTAGCCTAACTTAGTATATTAGCTGGTCGTCGAAATCAATCACAAGGTGCAGATTCTTCTACACAGAATCCGCGATACCGCAAAGAAGGTTAATTTGACAATTTTTAACTGACAGGGCGGTGATGTATCTTTCTCCGAGATGTATCCTGATGCCTACGAGCGGGGTGAGAAACTGTATCTACGTGATGGTGATGGGTAGAAATAACTGTTTGTCAGCCCTGTCTGAATGCAGCTACTGCTGACGGTCGAGAGCTCCGGTGTGATATGGACGAGTGACCTAGTTCTAAACCCCAGATGAAGGCGGATCCATTCGGACTCATAGTAGGCTGCTTACTTCCTTACCCTATACATTGGAGTAGTCCTGGTGATAAACTAGGAACAACAGGAGGCTTAGTCAAGGTTTCGTCGGACTAGAGTTAGAAAAAATAAAGCTTTCTGGATAGAATATGTGATTATTTGAGCAGTGGCCTTGTTTGAATATTCACTGATTGTGTTGCATTTGCCATCTTTGTCTATATGCTAAACTCCTGTTCATTTCTAGCCTGGATATTGATACATTGCGGCAAAATCCGTTTTTTTCCACCCAATTACTGCCCATTCTTCTGTTTATCTGCAGCGAGATGCGGATCGCGTCTTATGCCAACGTCGCGATACAGTTTACCTAGACAGTATCCCACGGCAGATGATATTGTGTTTAGGCAGCGGAGCCAGAGTTGTCGCCGCAGTCGAAGACTCGCGCGATATCTCCGCTAGCGAACGCATCTTGTATCGATATGGCAGCCGCATAACTAGACATTGGAAGTTGTGTGTTAGCTATATACGATTTGTGATGTAAAAATATCTCCTTGGAGAAAAGAAAGGGAAGAAGGGATACGTACGTCCCACCAACAATTATAAAGAGCCCTATCGCCACAATAAACGCGTGTAATCCGTAGAGTAGCCTCTGCGGCAACGTTCCAGACCTAGAGCTTCTATAATCATTCATCCAGAGAAGCGCCGGGAATACCAAACTAAACGGCGCGAAGCACAGGGCACCAGCCAGGCCAAGCAAATAGTTCAGGATTGGGACCGCCTCCGCGACGATAAATGCTGCTGAGCCGAGACAAAAGTTAATCCCAAGCCACGTGGACCAGTGCACGAAAGTATTTGCCTGCAGATGTTTCGAACCACGCAGGAAGCGAACGAAGACATACTTGGCGGCCACATGCTGATAGATCCCAACGCCGATGATGAGGCCCGGCATGGCGATCCCGTACGAGATCTTCTTGATTAGCGGCCCGGCGCTCCCAAAGGCTGGCACAGACAGCCAGACGCCGCACCAGCGGTATATGACCAGACTGAATGTGAGGTATATGGCGCCGATTATAAAGCCAGACAGGATGCAGGCCTTGCGATAGTCTTGTGGGCGGCGCATCTCGGATATGACCGGGAGGAACATTGACGAGCCGCTCGTGCTAACGAAGATGTTTACGGCGTTGACCATGCCCACGACGAAGGTTGGGTACGCAATCGGTGCCCAGCCAAGATCGAAATCACCAGTTGAAGGCGCAGCTGCGGGTCGGTCTTGTTGCGTTACGGCGACGGTAAAGACAAAGACGGCAATGAAGAAGGTTACGAAGCCGAACCAGGTCAGCCAGCCGAGGCGCGAGAAAGTGCGGATCGACGAGCAGATTGTAATCAGTATCGCTGAAATAAGGGCAAAGACCACCGTGCATGTTCCGTGATCCGACAAAGCATTGAACGCTATTGCTGTGGTGACGATTCCAGACGCGGAAACTAGGATCTGAGCAATGACAATCTGCAGGCCAACGAGTTCGCGGCCGATGCGTCCCCAGAGAGAACCCATCATGTCCGCCAGCACTGCCGGTGGGATTTCTTGTTAACCTTGATGACTTGCGGAGGATTCTGGAGGGCGGCCTTACTGTGGCACTCAGGATGCTTGTTGCGAAAATCGCCGAGGATACAGCCAGTATCTACACGACGGGTCGTACACCCGGTTAGTATGAGATTCGTGGTTTTGCGGTGCCTCTAACATACATGTGTTCAAGGCAGTGAACCCAATGATTGACAAGGACCCCCCAACTGAACCTAATTCCGCCAATGCTCCCGGAATGGCGAGAATGCTCATGGCAAAGTTGATTTTGCTGAACACGATAGTCGCTTGCTGCCAGCTCACGGTCCTGAAATCAACGCCGTTTGCCCCCAGCTGGAAGATCTCGAACGACTCTCCAGTTTCTTCATCCTTGACTGGAGCCTCACCATGTTGACATGCATCAAGTGTGATCTTCTCTGTGTCGGAGGGCGCTCTGTTCTCTTGAACGGATGAAATCGACTGTAATGCCATGGTTGGGGTGATCAAATGAGGTTGATTGCCTGGATGATAGTGTAACCTAGCTATAGATATACCCAGCAGGGGGTTTCCTCCCTGACTGTGGGGCTAGGCATATCTTTTTCCCATAATGCGGAGGATACGAAGATAAGAAGTTGGAGACAAGCTCAGCAGGATAGGTAAGGCAAGAGGTCCGGGGAGCTCTTCGGGATATCTGGAAGTAACCTGATTTGCCGCCCAGTGCTTCAGCAAATCTCTGGCATGCGCTGGCGTTCAATCAGCCTGTTTCTGGCGTGATCCTGCGAGAGATACACTATTATGTTTTGGCTTAGCCCGCAGTCATTCACTCTCTTGCTACAAAGTCAAGGATGATGCCAAGGCAACCTCTCGGCCGACTTTAGAATTATTATTCAGGAAACAGATAAGCTCAGCTGCCCTGGTCCCCCTAGATACAGACACAAGCCCAGCGTTAAGTCCGGACGGGGCTCGAGGACTTCGGGATGCCCGCGCAATGGACCTTATTTGCTCGCTATGGATTACCTTGACATCTAGGTATCTAATCCACTCTCTGCTTGTGCGGTAGTCCTTTCGGCTTGACGCTGCTGGAACCGGTGCAGTCGTGTTGATCTCATGGATACGTCTAGATAGACAAACAAAAACAATACCCGGCGGGCTCACCCATAGGGCTCCGTTCTTTTGTACTGACACGTCACAGAGCATGGAAGAACAAAACAGTGCACCTTCTCCCAGGAGGGTGTAAATCGTATATCAAGTACTCCTGCTCGGGCATTTCGAGCACCCTTCCGCGAACAGTTGTATAGATCCGGTGAGGTTATTCGTATAAAAGCCTTGCCATGCCAGTTATCGGATAAACCTGCTGACCTAATACCGATCGATTAGTTATGGTCTTGGTCTCTATCCGCGAAAAGTAAGCGAGTATTTCTTATAGTAGCAACTTGGCGACCTGGGTCGCGGGGACCCGGGAAGCAACGGCAGACCTTGCCGCAGGTCGGGGCCGCCAACCGGGAATCGACCGGGCCCGACCCTTCAATGCTGCATACTAGGTAGATTGGAACCCGTCGCCGGGGAGTAAGGGGAACGCGGGTGAAGGCGGGGGCTAACAATGCGACCAAGCTTAGAGCATCAGTTGTCCGTGGCAGCATCAAAAGGAATGAATGCTTAATGTCATATCATCCAGAATCCCAATCAATAGAATCAAGAATCTAATGCACTCTGCCCCGATATAGAGTATCACCTGGATGCGCCCGTATATATTGCTTATATTGGTTCCTAGCCTTTTGAGTCCTTCGATTTCTACCTAAATGGCCCAATGGCGAGGGACAGAGATCCCAGCTAAGTCGTGACAGTCTTTCTAGCGCAAGGTAAATCATGGTATACACAATCAGTCAACCTAAAACTTGCGGGGCAACCCCGGGGAAACGTCGGGTACGCGATCCAGAGAGATCCATCCACCTTGAGTAAACTTGGCAATTCCACATTCAGCAACCGGTGCTGGAGTCTGAGGCCGACCCTTGAGGGAGGCCAATCTTGCGGTCTTCCAGCCCGGTCCCAAAAAATCTGTGGGTATTATTTTGATAATCAAGTAGGCCTCAGGGTCGTTGGCACGCTAACACAATGATCTTCTTATGAGAGAATTGCTTGTTTGCCATGACAACTTTCGATTTCGAGCCCTCGACCCCACCCGCCTCTCCAAATTGCTTGCCAAATTGTTTCACCCATAATATTGTTCGCTGTAGTATTTTGTGTCTCACTGCGACATTGTGACTCGAAACGCATAGAAATATTTCGGCAGTCGACAGCTCATTTCGATTTTCAACATAGCGACACCCCGACCAATGGCGATTCCCTTTCTAGGCAACTCAGCATCCTGGGGCTATCTCAGCAGTTAAATCCATCCAAGTCAACTTACAGTACATTCATCAAGGCTCTGTATACTGGCTCTATTTTCATTGAGAAAGTATAAAGATCGAAGATAACTGTTTATCACAACGACCCCTATTCTTCAACAACCTAGTGTCCCACCATCGCCTGCCAGGTCTCATTATACCGGTTCCCATGCGGCTTCGTCGAATCAATAATATCCCGGATCGCCTGCTTCTCCTCCCCGGTTAATTCTATATGGCGGGACGCCCAATTCTCCTCCAAGCGATGCTCCTTGGTGGTTCCCGGGATCGCAATGAGTCCCTGCGCAGCAACCCAGCCAAGCGCAATCTGACTAAGTGTGACGCCTCGTCGAGAAGAGATTGCCTTCATCTTCTCGACGATCTCTTTATTTTTGTAGAAGTTGTCGCCTTGGTATTTTGGACCTATATTTGTCTGTTCCTTAGCTTGTGGCTCACGTGCGGAAGCAAGGACTGGAAGCACAATACTGACAGTTGTTTCGGCGGAAATCATCCTCGGCGAAATCTTCGGGGGTCTTGTAAGGAAAGTTGTCGACTAGCCACCCATGTCCAAGGGGACCATATGCAACAAAGGCCACACCTAGCTCCTTGCACGTTTGGATGAGGCCATCTCTCTCATGGATGGTCTCGAACGGTGAGTACTCGGCCTGGACGGCATCGATCTTGGCAACTATAGTCTTGATTAGACCAAGTTTGGGTAAAGAGGCAAGGAAACGTACTTGAATTGGCAGTGCGAAGGGTCTGAGCTGCGCATTCAGACAGGCCAATATACTTGGTCTTTCCTGCCTTGCGTATCTCGTCAAGTGCGGTTATCGATTCCTCAAGCGGTGTGTCTGCGAAGGTTAGTCTTGACCAGGTGAGTATGCAATGCCAAATAGAATCATACTGGGATCCATGCGATGCAAATAATACAGATCAGGGGCGAAGCCGAGTCTTTCAATCGTCCCCTCAATGTAGCTCTTGATGTGAGAGGCAGAGTTGGTGACTGAGCCGTCGCCAAAGACATCAAAGCCACACTTGGAGGCAACTATATGATAATGTCAGGTTAGACCAAGAAGGGACGTAGGCAAATTTATTGGTTAGTCCTTACTAAAGACCTTGTCGCGGATATTGTGCTTTTTTACAAAGTCTCCTAGCAGCTTTTCGTTCAATCCAGCCCGGTAAGAAACCTTTTCTGGTGTTACCTTCTAATTTGTTTCGGCCTTTAGCAAGAGAGACTTACAGCAGTATCCCAGAAAGTACATCCTAGCTCAATGGCCTTCAACAGAACCGGCTCAGCCTCTTCAAAGCTAAGGTTTGTGCCAAAGGCAAAGTTAAGGCCCATGGCACCGAAACCCGGGGTGGGGACCTGAAGGTCTCCGAAGGGGAGTGTTTTGACCATTTTTCTCTTTTTGCTGGCGTTTGCGACGTAATAACTTGCCACTTGTCACAAGGTAGACCTGGAAATCTAAAAGCTTCTGGGTTCAAAATGCTGTCGTTGACTGGAGGTTGGGCTCTAGATGATCTTTATTCCACTGCTAATGTTTTGCACGCAACCCTCCCCTGTTCGGTAGCTGCCGCGGAAACCCACCTACTCGGTCGGTGCCTATTTTTCTGCTTAGCTTCTACGTACCTAGTAGGGTTCATTGTTGTTCTCGGGAGAAGATGATAGGAAGTCCCGTCTTCCGCGGTCCATCCGATATATACGCGGGGTCCCCGTCGCGACAGAAACCGAGGGATTATCTCCCATGATTATTGCGCTTCTTCACAGCAGTACGGCGGGGAATTCCACATCGCTTTTCAGTCTATTCGGGACAGAGCTCTCCAGGCATACGTTGTATCAGATCTAGACCAACGAGTTCCTCAAGTCCATGATGTCCATGAGCGCTCCCGCGTTGACGATCCTCTTACCCAGGAGATGTCGACAAGAAGCCGGATGATTACCAGCCGCGCAATGAGCTGGATGCTTGGAACTGGGACCTGTATGATCCGAACACCATGGCTGGTCATCCGGTCAGTTTGCAGGTTATAGGGAAGAGACTTAATGAGGAGAAGGTATTGGGGACAGCGACCGCCATTGAGAGAATATGGAGAGGGGAGAGATAAAGGGCTAGTCAGCAATAGATTATTATTTTGGTTTCTTGCTCCCAGTATTGTACGCCTGAAAGTCTGTTTGTCCACATATCAAGTTGTCCGTTATGAAAAATACTTCAACATTCTCGATACCAAGGATTAATATTCTTAGTAAAGGCAGGTATTTTCTTGATCTGGACTGTGCAATCTATTATTTCAGCGTTGCGAAACTACCGCGATCGAATCTCAGAAGAAAGCCCGCGAATTCCCTCCACCTCATGCTCATAAAACTGCATGTTGAAGTATTTCTGCAGCGCACGCACCCTATCCATTTCCGTATTCAATGCCTGAACCGTCTTCGTCTTCCCCCGAAGGACCCTCTTGACCTCTCTCCCAGCAAGTATATAAATCCCAATGGGTTCAACGCCGCCCCCGTGCCCGTGGTCACCCTCTTCATCGTCGAGGATGACACGGGTACACGCCAGTTTCTGGGTAAACAATATCGACCGACTCGTGCTGGTAAAGAAGTTTATCATGCTAAAATCCTGGAAGAGGAATTCCACTTCGGAAAACGAGTATTGCGCGATCCAGGGGCTCTGTGGGTCGTTGCGCGCCTGGTAGATCCAGACCGTCTGTGTCTGGTCCACGAATTCAGCGAGGGGCCGCTTTATCAGGCGCATTTCACTTGGTGCGATTAAGGGCTGTGCAGTGGAACTACCCTCCTGGAGAAGTAGAGGGCTGGTAGGAGTGTTCCGACCCAAACCGACATCGACCTGGATAGTGCGTCCCAATTCCATTAATATCCTGTTTCCTCATTTATCTCGACCGCCAGTATCGGAATCATTGTTGGCATACCATATATCTTTTTCCGTCTATAGTCAGAATAAGGACCATGTGGCTCCTGTTCACCTTCGTCAGCGATATAATGTGATACGATACGCTATCCTTCAAGCAGGCAGTCGTGCAAGCGCTACTTACAAAGATATATACCCTTGCTCAGCAGGATCCCCCTTCACGACTGCCCGGCTGACCCGGCCCCCGGTCGGGTAAACATTGTAGCCCAGGGAGCGCACCACGATATAAAGGAGATTCGTATTCTCCATGCAGTACCCATCATGGCCGCGGACTATCAGCTTCTCGAAGACGGAGGATGGATGGATGGAGATGCTATGGTGGGTCGAGTAGTGCAGGGCGGTGTTTCCCCAGGTAATGGAGCCCAGATGGCGCCGTTGCAGTTCAGTGAAGGCTTGTAGGGGGTCGTCGTCGATAGCCGCTCGCAGTTTGGCTAAGCGTGGGTGGCCATTCTCCCTCGGAGAGGCGGCGTCATCGGCATATTTAATGCGCTGGAGATATTGTTCTAATTGAGCGGGTCCGAGGGTCGGAGGGTATGCTGGCATTGTGTCAGCCAAAGGTGGAGATCTCTCATTTTAGTGGAGTTCTTATTTGTCAACACCTCCACATGCCGCGTTAGTATAAAAAAGTAAGGCGCTTAATACCTTACTATTTTAGTAAAGGAATTAGGCCATTAATAAGTTTTTAAAGGCTTAAATTATTTATATAAACCCCTAGGTAGCTTTAGCTTTTAATAAATAATTTACTTTTTTTTTTATTTTTTTAAATATTATTTAATTAATAGCTTTATTAATTAATATAATATATAAAGGGCCTTATAATTATAAGCCTAAATATTAATTTAATAGTTTAGCTTATTAAATTCTTACTTTTTTTAAATATTTTAAAGCTATTTATACCTTTAAGTACACGCCTTAAAGCTATACTAAGCCTTTTTATAATTAATTATTTTTTTATTAAACTAAAATAAATATTAATTAATTTTTAACTTTTATACTTAATTTAA